AAGCTGGTGGTATTGTTGGACCATGAGGGGTCATCGGATATGTGGACCCCCAGGAACTTGAAGCTAGACACACGCTCCACCGCCGTTCCATTTAGGTGGATGGGAGTGTGTGTGTTGCCTTTCGATTTCCTGAAGTCCACAATGAGTTATTTTGTTTTTGTTGTGTTGAGGGCCAGGTTATTGTCGGCACACCACTCAGTCAGATGCCGAACCTCCTCCCTGTAGGCCGTCTCATCGTTGTTGTGGATGAGGCCGATCACCGTTGTGTCGTCTGCATACTTGATGATGGTGTTTGAACCATGTACAGGGGTACAGTCATGGAGGAGAGATTATCCAACCTGACATGCTGGGGTCTGTTGGTTAGAAAGTCTAAAATCCAATTACAAAGGGGGGCGTCGATGCCCAGGTCATTGAGTTTTGTGATTAGCTTGTAGGGGATGACGGTGTTGAAGGCTGAACTGAAGTCGATGAACAGCAATCTTGCATAGGAGTTGGTTTTTTCCAGATGTGAGAGGACGGTGTGAAGTGTTATGGAAACGGCATCTTCCGTGCTCCTATTAGTCCGGTATGCAAATTGATGGGGGTCCAGTGTCGGTGATAGGCGGGATTTAAGCTGTGCTAGGACCAACTTCTTGTAGCACTTCATGAGAATGGGTGTAAGTGCAACGGGACGGAAGTCATTCAGGCCTGCTGCAGCAGAGTGTTTGGGCACTGGCACTATGGCGGTGGTTTTAAAGCACATGGGGACAACAGTTTGGGCCAGGGAGAGGTTGAAAATGTCCGTCATGACCTCAGTCAGTTGCCCAGCACAGGCCCTGAGAACGCGGCCTGGGATGCCATCGGGTCCAGCAGCCTTGCGTGCATTAATCCTGCTCAGTGTGGTGAAGACGTCAGAAGGTGAGAGTCTGAGGGGCTGGTGGTCTGCAGGGGGAACAGCCTTAGTGGCTGTCTCCTGGTTGTCCCTGTCGAAGCGAGCATAGAAATTATTCAGCTCGTTGAGGAAGGAGACGTCGTTTGACGGGAGAGAGGGGGTGGTGGGTTTGTAGTCAGTGATGCCCTGAATGCCCTGCCACATTCTTCGGGGGTCGGAGTTATTGAAGTGCTCCTCAATTCTCAGTTTGTAGCAGTGCTTGGCCTTCCTAATGCCCTTCTTTAGGTGAGCCCTGGATGAACTGTAAGCCCGTTCGTCACCTGATCTGAAGGCGATGTTTTGCGCTTTCAGTAGTTGGCGAACTTCTTTATTCATCCACGGCTTCTGGTTTGGGTACGTTGTTATCTGCTTATGAGTGGTGACACTGTTGATGGTGGTGCTGATGTAGTCCAGTACGGAGGAGGCGTAGTGGTCAATGTCTGTATGGGAATCCAAGGTGGCCTGGGTGGCAAACACACTCCAGACTGTGTGTTGAAACTTGTCCTGTAGCAAAGAGTCTGCCTCCTCAGGCCATACCTTGACAGTCCTCACTGTGGGTTTCACACGTTTGATGAGTGGTGTGTATGTGGGGTAAAGGAACAGTGAGAGGTGGTCAGACTGACCCAGGTGGGGGTGGGGAATGGCACTGTATGCATTGGCCATGTTGGTGTAAACATAATCCAATGTTTTGTTGCCTCTCGTGGGGCAGGAGACATGTTGTCGGAATTTGGGGAGTACAGTCTTCAATTGATTGAAATCACCCGCAACAATGAAAGCTGCCTCAGGGTGTGCAGTTTGTTGTTGGCTAATGGCTGTGTGCAGTTCTTTCATTGCAATTTTAGCATTAGCATCCGGGTGTACATATACGGCTATTACTAGGATTGCTGTGAACTCTCTGGGTTGATAGAAGGGTCTGCATTTAATAAAAATATATTCCAGATGAGCTGAGCAGTGACTGCCGACAATAGCAGAGTCTGTACACCATGCTTTGTTTACATACATTCACAGCCCCCCTCCCCTGGTCTTACCGGAGTCGTCAGCTGATCTGTCTGTCAAGAGACAACTGAAGCTGTTGTTATAAAGCTACATTTATAAAAATGTGCTTTATAAATAAATAAAACCTGAAGCTGTTCATAGCATGAGATGGATGACGTTGTTGCTTTTTGACAGGAAGAGAAAAGATGACTTACTGCTACATTCAGGAGGAAAAAATATGGAGAGGATGAAAATATAAATATATGTTAAACTTCAGTGGCATAACTACTGAATTGAAAATAGAATCAAAGAATGTTTAAAATAAAAATAAATGTAAAAACCTGATTGACTTTATTTATAAACAGAGGGCCTTTTAATATATTGTTTTCATAATCTTCAGAATAAAACCTGACAGGCAGGTTTTAAAGTTGTTGTGATTGTGGTGGTGAAATGACCAAATGTCATACACAACTGTTTAAATGCATCTTTAGGCTGAAGTATAAAGACATACATTGTAAGTACTTCTGCTTTCATAAAATGTATCTGAAAATGTATTTGAGATCAAATATGAAAATTAGAGGCCCTCCAGAGGTTTGAAGCTGTCTCCCCATCAGTGGATATAGCTTCCCCGCTTTCATTTCTTTATGCTAATTATGCAAAATCCACATTTGGAGGTGTAAGTCGGGTTTCTGGCACACTGTCAGCATTAAACTCTGTCAAATGTTCCTCTCATCTTACAATGTTTCTTCTCTGACTCTTACTTCCGGCTTCCAGAGTTATTACCATATGATACCAACATCATGATACCAACATCAAGCAAATCTCTGTTTATACACGGCTAACCTCCTACTCATATATCTTGGAACTAAATAACAAACATAATCTTGACGGCAAAAAACTTTGTCGGTAATGGAATAAATCTACAGCTTAAGGGAGAATACTTCATTTCAGAATGCAAATTGCATGTATTTAAAGGTACAATTAAATTCTGATTGCATTATGGTTCTTTATCCCTTTAGAGCTGGTGCTGAACAGGACAAAAGCAAAGGTGTTGGATACAACGGCAGCGAGAAAGACGAGTACGGCTCAAGAGTATAGACCATAGTTCTGGATTTTTCTTCAAATGAGACCATTGTCCTTCCTCATCCTGTATTTGTGAAATTCTCCCATGCGTTGTGGAAGCATGAATGGTTTTGGTAGATCACATGATTTAGTTTGCATGCAGAGTTTTTGGGAAGCAGCACTTCTTTTTTTATCAAGCCACAGTCTGGACTCCCTTTGCTGTGTTGTGGCAGGCGGAACATGGTCGGCCTTCATGCTGGGTGTTTTATGCTGTATGACTACTTCCTTAGAGCAAGAGGAACAGCTGTCCCCTCTAATCCCCCTTTTATTTATCTGACATGATGTGGTGAGTATCTAAAGGAGAGCTTCCAGGCAAATTCAGTTAGGCAGCGGCTGAACTGGTGAGAAACTCAGGTCAAGTCGGACTGTGGCACCCGTTCCCTCAGGCTGTCCCGCACGGTGGAAAGCCCGACCACGAGCCAAACAATAGGGGGACAGACCCGACAGACATCCCTGATGGTAGGGTGGCCTGAGAGGGATGGGCTGCACCACATTATTCCACCAACCCTGCACTTAGAGCTGCTACATGGATTTTATAATAAAAGGGCACTTGGCTCAGTACAAACACAGAAACACACAGCTCCTTCCTGGTGAATTATGCTGAGAAAAAAAAAGGCTTTTGTGTTTTCAGGCTATACGTGGGCTGAGCCCTGACCTCTGTCCGCCTGTCGGATCACAAGACTACTGTAACTCCCCAGCCCCCCTTGCAGCCTCTCAGTTAGACCACAGCATGTACAGTTAACCACGGGACCACTTGTCATCGTCACAGGGTTTCCCCCAGCCATTAACATCTCTTCTGCCTTTATTATATTCATACATTTCATTTTAGATGTTACAGTTTATGTTCAGTATTTGCATGCCTATAGTGTAGAAGGCAAGACTTACTGTAAGAGAAGACTGCAATTACTTTACACTGATCGAATAAGCTATCTCGTAAAATGAGGAAATTACTTTGGAAAACAGAAGCACAGGGTGACTGTTTCTCCATAATAAAATGTAACAACAGCGCACACGATCTTCCATGACATTTATCAGTCCTCCAGCAGAAGATCATGTTGCCTGATCATTGCTGCTTTAGCCTCATCACATAGTTGATATACTGTTGCCATATCTTAAAACAATGTGCCAATCATGTGTTAAACTGTAGTTTTGTTGTACATGTATTTGTGCCATAATGTTCTTCAGCTGTTAGCATACTTTTTGTGTATTCAATTTAAAGAATTGCAGAATAAAATCAATATTTCTTAACTAAAATGTCATCTTCGTTGCATTTTTTTAATTTAATAAGAAGAAGCAGTACGACGGTGTAAAAATACTCTGTTACAATAAATAGTCCTGCATCCAAAACCTTAAATAAATTAGCATTACATTAATTATGGATTAATTCATTTGTTTAAAACATGATGTTGCAGCTGGTAAAGGGGGAGCTCATTTAAATTACTTTGTAACTTAAGTCATAATTTATTTGTTGATTTTTTTATTTTTTTTTAAATCTAAATCTGCAAAGAAATGTGAGTGATCAAATTAATGGATTAATCTGATCAATTAATTGATTAATTTGATCACTCACATTTCTTTGCAGATTTAGATTTAAAAAAATAAGTTACAAAATAAAAAGTATATGACTCCAATATGTAGTGGAGTAATGTTAGGATAAAATGGCATATAAATGAATACTCCAGTAAAGTACCTCATTATTGGTCTTACAGGTACAGTAAGTAGATGTTGTAATACCATTAAATTACTGTCTATGGGAAATATTTTGACCCTCTCCCAAAAAAGGAAAAAAAGACGTCTAATGTTACCTGGTAAAAGGCAAAAGGATGCCCACTGGCCACACTTTGCACACTTCACTACCCTTATGAGCATGGATGTAAAAAGAGAACTTGACCGTGAAAGAGAACGTGTTATCTAGTGGCCAGCCCTTTAACAGCACTGCCATCTAGTGGCTGTTTGTATGAACTGCAATAACAATACGTTTCACTTCCGGGTCTTCTGCAGATTTCGGACTTCAGTGCATTTTCCGTGATTCACCTTTATCTGTCTGCAAGCCTGCAGGTGTTTTCTGTGTTTCGTGATGTATCACCTGCCTGTGCTGAAGAACAGGCGAACTCTCCTGGAGAGGGCAGAGAAGTTTATCTCTGACATTTATTTCACAGACTGCAACCTGAGAGGACGGTAAGTCTCTTTCATACAGCTGCACTCACTTTGAACTGTAGTACTCCACTGCAGGCTTTATGGTGCTTTCTGTGACAGAAATGTTTAATGTCTTATTTATTCATGTCTTACACGAAAATGCACATTATTATCATTGCTTAAGGTGTTTCTGTGTAGATCAGTACCAGTTTCACCGATCTGCAAAATAGTGAAAATAAAACAAAACTGTAAAGTATCTTCAGGGAGTTTTTCTTTATGATACATATTTTAACTTAACATTGACATATTCATATTTAATTAACTTTTTGATTAGTGGCTTTACAAATAAGTGACTTTTCTAATGATTATTCTCTGCAGACTCTATGGAGACTCTTGCCCACTGCAGTCCATTGACTCTTTCTTGTCCTCTAAACGGATCACATTCACGGAGGCCTCCAATCAGACCTTTGCACCTTATAAAGTGGGTGATTCCTTTGGACCAACGTAAGTAATATTTCAGCTTTTTTTTTTTGCATCACTCTCAGATAGTTTTGTTGCCTCCTATCTTGGCAATAACCCATGCTTGATGCTTGTTGAAGGTGGTGGACCTGCTGGTTTAAAGTGACCCTGAACATCCCTGAGTCCTGGAGAGGGAAAGAGGTGCATCTTCGGTGGGAAAGTGATGGAGAAGCGATGGTTTGGAGAGATGAACAGCCAGTGCAGGTAATGTAGCAGCAGCCTGCATTAAAGTAACACAATTCAGTTCTGAACACATGACAAGATTTCACTTTGACATCTTTTATTTGTAGGGCCTGAGTAAAGAGGGTGAAAAGACTAGTTATATCCTGTCTGACTGTCTGAAGGATGAGGAGCCACACAGGTCAGTTCCTAAAACACAAGTTCATTGCTGCTTTTGTAATCAATTGCTCACTGAATGTCTATATTTTCTCCTGTTTTCCAGTGTCACCCTTTATGTAGAGATGGCCTGTAATGGGCTTTTTGGAGCTGGTCAAGGATCCATGATTGCAGCCCCGGATCCAAACAGGAAGTTTTCTGTACAAAAGGCGGAGCTGGTGGTATTTAACCGTGATGTACAGGAGATGTTGACTGATTTTGAGATGCTGATTGACATCGTAAAGGTGAAGTCACACAAATCAGTACATGTTGGTATGCTACTTTAGTTCAAACGTATTGACGGTAAACTTTTCTCTTCCTTCACAGGAACTTGGAGAGGGAGAGCAGAGGGGCTTCCAGGCGCTCTTCACTGTGAATGAGATGGTGAACCTGTGCGACCCATCGGACCCCAGCTCCTTCTCTAGAGCTCACAGCCTGGCTCACACCTTCTTCAGCCAGAGAAACGGAGACAGCCAGCATGTTGCTCATGCGATGGGTCACTGCCACATAGACTCAGGTCTCAAATGAATGTCTGCAATTCAGTTTTAGTTTAATTCACTAAATAGTCATTAGATATTAACCGATTTCAATCATAATTTAGAAAAGGGTTGACTGTATCATTTTTAGGTACCACAATTATCTATATCTGTACTTTCAAAGGATACTCTGCCCTAGAAGTAGAAAACTATTACAGTAGGTAATTGCATATAAAATCTTTCAATATTTTTGTCAAATTAGTTAATATTTCTGCATTTTCAGCTTGGCTGTGGCCCTACGAAGAGACCATTCGCAAATGTGGCCGAAGCTGGGTGACAGTGATCCGTTTAATGGAGAAGAACCCAGAGTTTGTATTCACTTGCTCCCAGGTAATTCATCACTGACAAAGTGTTGTAAAGGCCATGAAGAATTTACAAATCATAGCAGCCTCTACAGTTTGGAATTTTTCTTTGCTTTTCGTCCAGGCCCAGCAGTTCCAGTGGGTAAAGAGCTGGTACCCAGGACTCTTCTCTGAGATTCAGCATTACGTTAAGAAAGGCCGGTTCATTCCAGTAGGAGGAACATGGGTGGAAATGGTAAAGCAATCACATTTATTGTATCTTAAGGGTTTAACTCTATTATTTGGGCTGCTATGAATACACCCTATTTTATGAACATCTCAAGTTAAGATGAATTAATTCCACATTTTCCTGTCAGGATGGCAATCTGCCTTCAGGCGAGTCCATGGTCAGACAGTTCCTGGAAGGCCAGCGCTTCTTTGACCGTGAGTTTGGGATCCATTGCAACGAGGTATGGATTCATAAAAAGATGTCTTCATACTGTAACCTGAGTTGACCTATGTGTGCTTGTCCTCACATTTGCATGATACAACACTATTTTCTCTGTTTTCTTTAGTTTTGGCTTCCAGATACGTTTGGCTACTCTGCCCAACTTCCTCAGATAATGCAGGGCTCTGGCATTTCCAATTTCCTAACACAGAAGCTTAGCTGGAACCTGGTCAACACATTTCCTGTAAGTAAAGTAGGTGCTGGGCACCAATTTAAAAACAAAGAAAATTGTTTTGTTTAGATTTTCAGTTTTGATTTCTCTTTCTCTAAGCACAACACATTTTTCTGGGAAGGTCTGGACGGCTCAAAGGTTTTAACACATTTCCCACCAGGAAATTCCTATGAAATGAAAGGGAAGGTTGAAGAAGTGAGTTTTTCTTTTTTTATAGTTCACATAACATGGTGATGTTGAGTCTGAGAGAAGAATATTTACAATCCTTACAAAGCTTACATCTGGGGTTTTATCTGCCCACAGCTGGTAAAAACTGTGAAGAACAACAAAGACAAGGGCAGAGCGAACCACAGTGCCGTGTTGTTTGGGTTTGGAGATGGAGGCGGTGGACCGACACAGCTGATGCTGGACAGACTGCAGCGGGTCCAGGACACAGATGGACTTCCCAAGTCAGTTCCTGTCACACACTTTGAACCCAGCACTTGTCAGTTACAAAAACCAGGCCCAAACTGAAGCGGAAATAATTCCCGCGAGTACATTTGTCATGAGTTTTATATGACTTGTAATGCACTATGGGACTGCTGTAATGGGGAGTGCCAGCACGTAGACAGTGGACTCCACCCAGCTTGTTAGATTCAAAAGGATATGAGTGATTTCAACTGATGTCATTATGGTGTGGTTTTATTATAATAGTCAATGCTATCATGCTTTAGTCAGTATGAGTAACAATGGAGTAACCAAAGACGTCGTTGGTCACTTCCATGTCCAATTCTTGTGTTTCTCAGGGTCCAGATGTCCAGTCCTGACAAGCTTTTCTCTCAGCTGCAGGCTGACTCCGCCCTGCTTTGCACTTGGACCGGAGAGCTCTTCCTTGAGCTGCACAACGGCACATACACCACGCAGGCCAAGGTAGAATACAACCATATTCAGATTCTTCATTTATAGAGGAAATTACACTTTGCCATAACAACAAATTATCTGAGAAAAAGGAAAAAATCCAAGTAAACAAATAGTCTAGAAACACATAGCAACAACAGTATGGGAAATAGTATATATTATTGACATGCATGATATACTTGGACCAATTATAACAGTATACTTATAGTCTTGATTGCTAAATCTACATATACATTAATAAATATAGAAGTATAACAAAAGCAAAACACACCATCAAATATGCAAAGCATTCGAGGAAAAGGGTATTACTTTACCACAAATACAAATGAAATCAAGGTTCAAGGTTTAAGGCTTTTATTGGTCATGCGTACATAGCTACAGTGTAGTTATGACGATGAAAATCTTAGGTCACAGGCTCCTCCAACAGTGCAACACAATGAAACAATGTGTGGAGTATGAACAAATATTAAAGATGTTGAAGATAGTTACTTTTTTTATGTTTTGTTTATCTCCAGATTAAACAGGGGAACCGTCAGTGTGAGACGCTGCTTCATGACATTGAGATAGCCAGCAGCTTGGTGCTTTGTCGGGACAAGACTTTTATATATCCTGTGGAAAAACTGCAGGAGCTCTGGAGGTCCGGATGCACCTTTTTAAAGTTTGATGATGAATAAATAAATTGTCTCTGTTGTTCCAGTATGAAAACGATTTTTCCCTTTCAGGCTTCTTCTGCTAAACCAATTCCATGATGTGATTCCTGGCAGCTGTATAGAGATGGTTGTGGATGATGCACTCAGATATTACGAAGGTTAGTTTTCAATAGTTGTCCGTCAAAACCACAGCAATATACATATTTTCTTTTCCAAAATAAATTAAAAAGAACACTCATTGTGTCTTTAGATATCCGCACTGATGGTGCTGCCCTGCTGCACGATGCCTGTGGAGCCCTCGGTTCAAAAGGAAACTCCCCTGGTGTGTTCAACTCTCTGCCATGGGAGCGCCATGAAGTCGTCCAGATGCACGAAGGCCCTGGTACACCCGATCTGGGTATGTTACATATTTACAGAATTCATGTTGTTGCTTTCCACACTACAACTGCATATGTGATGTTGTAATGTGGCGTCTGTTGTATTGCAGCTCTGGTGAGAGTTCCCAGCATTGGTGTGTCTCCTGTTGGAGACACAAAGCCTGTGGCTCCAGTGACTATCACTGGTCAAGTATGTGCTATATATAGAGAGCATTTAATTCATTTAGCTTTGTTGTCATTTTAATTGGCTAACCAAGATGTTGTGTAACATTAAAGGCCGACGGAACATTGCTCATGGAGAATGGGATTTTACGAACTGTCGTAAACAAAGATGGCACTTTGGCGTCTCTGTATTTGATCAACGCCAACAGGTACTGTAGGAGCACATATTTTCAACTACTACATTTATACTGAATTCATTTTTATTATGTACTGTATTAACATGACTCACACTTTGGTTGTTTTCAGAGAAGCCATCTCTGACAGCTGTCATGGCAACCAGTTTGTCATGTTTGATGATGTCCCTCTGTACTGGGATGCTTGGGATGTAATGGACTACCATCTGCAGACAAGGTGTCGTTTATTACTCTTACATCCATCTTTTGCCCCCTTGATACACACCATAGTATTTGCAGGTTTTTTAGATGTAAAGCCTGACTGCAGGATTGACCCTACAGGAAGCCGGTTGTGGAGGTGGTGCAGCCTCCTCATCTGGTGTACTCAGACGGGCTCAGAGGAAGTGTCCGCTTCACCCTCAGGATCAGTGATAAGAGCACCATCACACAGGAGATTATCATGGATGCCATGTGTCCTTACATCAAATTCAACACTAAGGTACTTCATATCATTTATGATATCTGGAGAGATCGCAAGAATCACTGATCGCAAGAAAATCCCAATGTTGCCTCCTTCTATTTCAGGTGACGTGGGCAGAGTCACACAAGTTTCTTAAGGTGGAGTTCCCTGTGCGGGTACGCAGCCCCAACGCTACATATGAGATCCAGTTTGGCCATCTGCAGAGACCCACACACAGGAACACTTCATGGGACTGGGCCAGATTTGAGGTACACCTCTGGGGAATCAACTACACAAGTAGCTAATGTACAGCTTAATGTACTTTAAGTGTCCTGTAGATGCAGTCACAACAACAATGGTTTATGTGTATTTTTCTGTTGTTTTTCATCATGGCTTCTCTCTCTCTTAGGTTTGGGGTCACAAATGGGCTGATTTGTCGGAGCCCAACTTTGGGGTTGCACTGCTGAACGACTGCAAATATGGCTATTCAGTGCACAAGAACACTATGACGCTGTCCCTGTAAGGTTTCCCACTGTTTTCATACAAATGGTACAATTTAGTTTCTCAAATTGTCAATCATTCTTGCAGCTAACAGTAAATGTCTGTGTTTTAGACTGAGAGCACCTAAGGCACCCGATGTCAACGCTGACATGGGGACTCATCAGTTCACCTACGCCATCATGCCTCACACAGGTGAGATTGAGTTCTCAATAAATCTTAAAGGGACAGGGGCAACAACAACAACATGTGTCTTAGAGTAATCAATATCATAGTATATAATATACAAGTATATGCTTTATTTAATATATTTTTCCTACTTTACTTTGACATGAGACATCCTATGCCCTTTGAAAAAAAAAAGCAGTAATTTAACCTTGCAGTTGCTGGTTTACCACTTCCCTGTCTAACAGAGAAATACAAATTAATAAAGCAAACACTTAAACTGATACTAATGTTTAAGTGGCTTGAAAATGAGTTAACTGCTGCCCCCGCCTGCAGCAGTACATTGCTTTACTTCTAAGCCATAACCCCCGATTGCTCCACAAACTGGGGGCAAACCGACTGCTGTCTACTGTAGGCAATTAACTTCCATTAAAAGAACCCCACTAACTCCACTGCAATCTTTATGAACAATCCATTTCAAACCCCGACTTTGAAACTGGTGTGATAATATGTTCTGTGTTATATAGGATCCTTCCAAGATGCCTCTGTCATCCAGGCTGCGTACAACCTCAACTTCCCTTTGAGGCCAATCCGGTGCCCTGCTGACACCGAGCCCTGGAGTGCCTTTTCCATCAGCACTGCTGCAGTGATCCTTGAGACCATTAAACAGGTAGCCAATTAAATGCTAAGCTTGACATAGTGTGCCTTAATCCAATCAGCCCACTAATGGCTATTTACTCCATTTACCATAACAGGCTGAGGACAGGAAGGGAGCACTCGTAGTTCGACTTTATGAGTCACATGGGAGCAGCGTCACTGCAACTCTGAGAACCACCTTTCCGATCAGGGAAGCCTGGCCGTGAGTAACTCTATTTTTATCATGTTTACTTCTGTCTGGCATCTTTTATTGTCTTCTAAGAACAACATTTTTTCCCCCATTCAGTTGCGATCTTCTGGAGAAACCAGACCCCACCCGTCCGGCACACATTACGTCAGGGGGAATCACTCTGGACTTCAGCCCCTTTCAAATTGTGTCCCTTCTCCTCGTCTTTTAAAAAGACACACCATTCCTTTTTTTGTACCAACCTCAGGGTAGTCACAAGTACCAAATCCTAAAAGTTAGAAACTAGTCTCAAATGTGTCATATGGCGATGCAGTTTATAAGGAGACTTTACATGGACTGCCTCTTTGTGAGCTACTTATAGATGAGAATGTGAAAAAAAAATGATTTGATAACTATGCATTAAAACAATAAACAGTTGCAGAACTTTTACAGTATCCTGTGCTTTATTAAAAACTGTTCCATAGTATAAAAACATACACACAATACAGTGGTGCCTCCCTTTTCTCCTCATTTGCGGCTCTGTCTGGTAACTCTCCCGCTCTGCTTCTCTGGACCTGCAACAACTAAAATGTTAATTTTTTTTCGAACAATCCCCCAGTAGTGAAAAACATTCGTTCCATTTTGAGAGAATATAATGAGCAGACCTGCAGCTGGCTCTGCACTGCTGGTCTTCCTCCCACGAGCAGCTGGTCTCTTTTTTTTTTGAGGTGATACCATTTCTTCAGACTTCTCGATTTCTTTCTTTGCTGTTTTGGTTTCCTGTTTGACCACCTTCTTCTTTGGTGTGCTTTTTGAGCCTCCTTTGGCCCCCTAATTAAATCAAATATATTAAGAGTCACATCTGTAGAGCTCAATACTCATCAAGAAAAAAAAAAAATCACATACCTTTTTCTTATCCGTGTAATCATGGTCCTCTGTTTTCTTTGCTCTCTTTTTTGCCTTGGGTGACTTTAAATCTGTTAAATGAGAAAAGACAAATCTGTTCAATACATTTTGTGCGGAAGTTGTCAGTTTAATGTATTCGAAGTACCTTTAGGTGCCATGGGGCCTGGATCTCCCTGAAGAACAGAAGATATTACTATCAGTGACATATAAAATAATGAGCCAGATATTAAAATATTGGATTATTTCTATGAACTCACGTTGAACCACATAGTTCTGCCATTGTGGTCCCGTAATGATTTCATCCCATCCACATAGTAACACTTCAGCCATGCCTTAAACTCAGAGTAGTCCTCCTTCTTGGGGTCGTAGCCCTTTCCACCTATGACAAAAACACCATCAAATCGACTTGAATGACCTCTGAATTATTTTATGAACGTTTTTTACTCTATAGGAAACTAACCTTGGTTCACCACCTCCAGAGGAACTGTATGACACAGTCTGAGCAGGTCTCCCGTCTCCTCTTTCACCTTCTTAACCCTGTCTGAGGCCTGGTGCACAGAAGAAAGAAAGGCACTGTTGAATAATGTAATGCTGTGATTGTCAAGTGTCTGATCTAAAAAAAGGTATCTGTCTGGGATACGTCACCTTTTCGTCCTTGATCTCAGTTTTCAAAGGCTTCTCGTTTTCACATAAATCTTCTGACTCAAGGCCTTCCAGTACGGACCTCGCTGGCACAAAGGGTGGGATGTTTAACCTTAAAAAAAAGAAACTACTTTAGAACCAATCTTTTGTAAAACAGAGAGGCTCCTTTGTTTTCAAAGGGAGGCTGAATGTATGCTACGCCCGCAGGATGAGGAACCAAAAACAGAACAAAGATACTCTTTTCATATCTGGAGACAGACCTTGAGACTCATGAGAGCAGGCTTTGTGTTTCGGTCAACAATACAAAGCAGACAATTCGTCTTTTTCTTTTAAACTACAGTAGAAGCTCACAGGAAAAACGAAATGTTATATATCCACAAAGTAATTTATAGTATTTCTAGTCAGACCTTGATTTTTGAACTAAGGAAGCAATGCAAACAAAGAAAAGATACTCCCATCTTGATAAACATCTTGTTATGTTTATTTTAAGAGTGTGCTCGGACAAACTGTGAGTCAATGTCTGTCATCACCAGGCGTTCCTCCCTGAGAACTACTTGTATTGTAGAACTTGTATTGAATGTGGGATGCAATTATAAGTTGGTCGGCACAAAAATGTATATGCAACTATTTTGGTAAGTAATTTGAGGATTTTCTGCCATAGGAAACTTCACTAATTTATGACATTTTACTGACAAAACTGTTTATTATATCATCAGATTATTCCATTGTTAAAATCATGGTTAATTTCAGGCCCATATTCAAAGCGGGTTCTCATGTCATTGTGGATACCCATGTCACTTAATAGGTTTGTTATTGGTGCAACCCTAAATAATAACTACACAATATCTAATTTGATCAGTTCTGTGGTTTGTTTATGTGCATCACCTGAAAAGGATTTCAGCCCTCAGGTAGTTCCCGATACCGTTGAAGTACTTCTGATTGAGCAGAACTTCACAGATGGGCCTGTCAAAGGCTCGGCCAGACAGGTGCGTCACAACGTTCTTCCTGCAAAATCAAACACTGGTCAGTGTGGGAGTGAGTTTTTGGTCTAGCAGGTAACTTAAGTGAAAGTCATCAATACTAACCTGAAGCTTTCGTACTCGAACATGATGCAGGGCCCTCTGTCAGGCTGCCAAGTCCCGTTGGCCTGCCAGCTGCCAAACCTGCGTGTATCCACAAAGCTCAGCACTCTGCAGGGCGTCTCTTTAGAATAAAAACGCAGATGGGAATGTTTGGGCAGCTCATCCTCTGAGGTGAAGCGGAAATAGCCTGACATCCCAAAGCGGAAGACTACGTCCATGGCCTGGTCTGCTTGGCCTGCCTTAGATCTCTGTTTTGAATCATCACTTTTCATAGGCGTCAGCGTGAGCTTCACTTCCTTCCCTCTGGAAGAGGCAGTGATGCAATAGGCCTCACAGGTGAAGGGCACATCAGGACTTTTGCTGACTTCAGATTTTCTGACCGGGCCAGTGAACACCACTCCAGCACACATTTTGTTTACGTAAAGGCTGCCAAGGTGGAGCTCAGGTCCCTCAGGCATTTTGAAGCTGTGCTGTAGAGAATGAAATGGCAGAGCAAAGTTAAACATAAGCGCTGTAGCTACTTTTAATTCACACCGAGGATGTGTGTTTTAGAAAACCTGGGGAAACTTACATTCTGGACAAAAACAGCTTATAAGAAGATAAATTACAGTTTTTTTAACATTTCACTACTTTTAGGTCAACAACAAAATAGAACTACAGAATATGTCAAGGCAGTTTCCAAAAAGCATTTAAATATATTGTTAGGGACACAAATGTTTGTTTTTTTAACATAACTCACAATCACTCAGACTACACAACGTGACACATCAATGCCTTCAACCCTGCCACAGAATAAACAATATGACAAATCATGGATGGCCTCAGAGTATTTTGCAAAAGTCAGAAAAATAAAAAGAAGGCGTTATCATTGAGTTTCGAGCATGGGTGCTGGGGCAAAACAACTTACTTAACTAGGAAGCAGACCACTCCACGGACAAACGAGTCACTTCAACTTAAACCTCAGTAACATCCCATAACACACGGAATGTGTCGGGTCACTCCAGTTTCCGAAGGGCTGCAAGATGTGCAAGTATGGCACAAGCAGGGCTTTCACAACATGCTTGTTACCAAACGTGTTGTGGTTCTTGGTTTTATAACATCATCGCGTTCCATTCAAGATTCAGAAAATGTCGCGAGATCTCCATGCCTATAATCTCGTTATTTATAATTAGATATATTTGCGGTGTTTTACATGTGTTTCTCAACCTAGTTTTTCCTCATGTTTAGTACTAATTCACGGAAAACAATGAAGAATTTAGCTTTTCTAGCAAACTCACAATAGTATACAGTTAATGATCACAACAGAAGCAAACAGTCCCGTCCCATTGCATGTTATGCACATATATGATATGTAGGCTATGCGTTGTGGAAGAAAACACAAATCTCTGTAGTTCACGTTTTATTTGTTATTTATGGGGTATCAGAAAGTACAACACAACGTATTAACATAATTTAAATCAAAATGTGTGAATCAATATACAATTTTTACAAAAATGGTCCATTCAGTATTCTTGTTCAGTCTGTAAACATGTGTACCAATATTTCCTGATGTGTTAGAAAAATACCGCACAACTGATAAGAGTTAAGACTAGCCATGTGCTCTCTTCCAATGACTCAATAACAGTCAATGGAAATAAAAAAAAAAAAAGCCATTCACATGACTTTTGAGATGACTTATATCATATAAAAAGAATTATACTGTACAACATGTAAATATGGCACTTTTGGCAGACTATCAGCATAATTTGTGTCCGGCTCTTGATCAGACATTGAAGTCCGACTTCTCCGTCCCATCTTCATTGTAGTGCATTCATCCTAACCTGTGCTTGTTTGAGTTCTGCAGGAACAGAGGGGAAAATAACCATCAAAACATTATCATGGCTAATAAAACAGTTTAACGTGAAGGACCGTAGACAGAATAACTGAAAATGGACAAAAAGCAAACCTGACCTGCAAGCAAGACTCTGAACTTGTCTGCAGAAACAGAAACAACAGTAGTCTCTGTTGAGCCTGACTCCGCTCCTTGTGACTGCAGTTTAAGCTGAATCAGAGGTTCATTCACTTCCCTCAGTTCACTGGAGCTCAGAGTATAGTCGATACGCCATGAAACGGACTCCAGTCTGCCCACTGAAATTCATTGCAGGGCAGAAGTGATGGTCAGCCAAAAAACCTCCAAGAGTCAACTCTCCTCATCAGTTATTTTTGTCTTCCTCTTCGAAAAGGACAAGATAGACAGAAATACTTACATCTTAGACTGGTCTCTCTTAGTTTGCCTTGCAGTGCAGAGTGCTTGTCTTCATATGATTTGCAGAGCCCCGTCGTGTGCTCTAGAATAATGGAATTGTGTGAGTTATTAAAAGTAAATTCAAGATTTATTACAAGTGCATAATCACAGAAAAGTGTTTAAACACACGTTGAGCAGAAGAACTGTCCGGTGCATTAACACAGAAGTATCCAACCAGTAACAGAACAAAAGTAATTGCCAAAAAGTACTTGAAAGGAAGTTTATGTGTATCAAATAAAGGGGAAATCTTCAATACATTTTAAAAAGAGAATCGAAAGTTGGCGTTAAACAGCTGTCATTGTAACTGTAATCAATGCACCAAAGTCACAATGCACAACATCATCCTCCCCAATAATCAGCCCTTTCTAAACTGCACATTATGCACAGACAGGGTCACCTTTGAGGCGAGCTGAGTGCAGTGTTTTATTATATTTAGTAACACAATAGCTGTTTATGCTATGCCTTCGTTTTTAACAACAATACAGTAGGCTGTGATTTGGGACCTGCATATTTCTAGAAGTCTGCAAATCCTACAATTATACACCTCTGTTTTCAGAGACCCTTTGCTGTTTAGTAGGCCCCGGGTATCTGCCGCACAAGCTCTTTTTAATGCCAACATTTTCCCTGAGATATTAAAAGTACTCAAATATATTGGTCCAATCGTGTTTTTAGTTCCCTACTCTTTGTACACATTGAAGTTTAGAAAAAGGTCTGTGAATTTGGCAACTACAGATAAAGACATAATCCTATTCTTTGATATCAAACATGAAGGACCCCAGTGAACTTACCTTTAGGCAGACCAAGCTGCTGCAGCTCACTGGACAGAGACTCACTGTCGACATCATGCTTGGCTGCACTGGAAAAAATGAAGCTGAGCACTGCCACAGTAGCTTTGACGTCTCCACTCTCTGCAAGATGGATTGACATCATGAATTTATATTTTACAACAAAAATATGATGCAAATATGGCATTCTTCTAGGCTTGTGTGTAAAGTATGAGATTTAAATACATTTCCAGCAGTAGTAGTATATGCTTAGGTAGACTTATTTAATCAAGTACTCTTCTGAAAAAGTATTCTGCAGTACTGATAATTTGCTTTAAATATTATTGCTATTTTACACTCACACATCACAACATATAAAAGGCAAATAATCTGCATTTATTCTATAGCTATAGTTAATAATTACTCTGCCTATTAAGATATTACTCACAAAACACATGATGAGCTTACAATACATGATTCCTTGTTGTAAATGTAACCAAGTATTTACTTTTACTACGAACACATTTAAAAATCTACTGATACAACTACATTTTTATTTAGCAGTATTTTTAATGCAGGCTCATTATTTTTTAAATTATGTGGTTTAATCTGTAGTGTTGCCACTTTAACTTTTGTAAAAGATCTGCAGTATGAGGGAGACTTACCAAACTTTGCATCTGCAGTGAGCTTTGTAACCTTGTCATACTAAGACAAAAGAGAAGATGATCAGTTTGAGTGAATTCTGAATATATAGAGAAGTAAAAGATTATGTGGAAATATATTCAAACTCTTACATCAATGCCCTCCCCGAGCAAATCCTTCAGCACTTGAGCACACAGGAGTTTCATTTTGACACTAGACTGTGACATTATTGAGAAGACACATGTATTAGTTTAAAAATAAAACGCACCATAGACTTACAATTAAATAACCTAACATTATTACTCACAAGTTTAGCTAATGTGCTGATTTCGGCAAGAACCCAGTCGGGGCAGTCCAAGTCTCCACAGAAACGGAACCGCTACAAAAGACAAAACAACAGATACATGTTTTTACTGTACAGTAACGACAGTAACAAACAATGTAACGATAGCATTAACTTGCTTTAACTACCCATCATTACAGCTACTAACTAGCCTAGCCTGCTAGCTCCCATAAAGCAGGAGTGCATATCGATCGTGTTAAAGTAAATATAAACAAACAACATTTATAAACATGCAACTATAATGTCCTATAAATAAATCGGCTTCTTATTAATAAAACTACAGTCAAAAAATAAGATAATTTGACGGGTTACCATGGTTGTGTGAGTCAGCTGATGTTGAAGACAGAAGAACGGAACCGGAAGTACATTCTATTTCCTCACACCGATTGGACGAGGGAAAAGTGGGCGTTCCTTCAGGAGCAGCAAGAACAGCAAGAATTCTAAACATCAGTTTTCAATAGAGTATTTTAAGTCCTGGTTCTGAAGATAATTATATGTATTTGTTATTGCACCATAATAAAAGTGCCAACAGGAGAGAAGTAACTTACTTTGATACAAACCCTGTCAGACACTTCATTAGGTAATATTGGTTATCCTCATGGGGATACTTTGCATTGTTTTATCACCTTGATAATAAATAAAATAATTGCTTATATATTTGTGGCTATATGCATTGTTTCAGAAGTCCTATAACGATACACAGTATTACTTGTGTTTTGGGTTGAAAGATGCAGCTTTAAAACTATTTATTAAACTCATATTTTGTTTGCTTGTTATCTCTCTCCGTCTCCTCTCTGTTCTCTTTCTCTGCAGGGCTTGAGGCAGGGGGCGTGATTTTCCTGGCTTCAGAGGAGGCACACTTGTTGTTTCCACTGACATCGTCAACCTGTTCCATAGCCCGGTCCATCCAGAGTGCCTTTCTGCAGCTTTAAGGTTCAAGGTTTGAGGTTAGTTTATTTGTATAGCACATTTTAAGACACAGAGGCAATTCAAAGTGCTTCACATAGGCATTTAACACATAATAATTAAAAACAAAACAAACATACAAACAAAAACAAAAAAAGACAATTCATAAAAGCGATAAAATACTGGCTGCAGCTAAAATTGCAATGATAAGGCATGTTAAAGGATCTCAGGATAGGCTGCATTACAAAGAAAGATTTTTAACCTTGATTTGAAAGAACCCATGGTTGGGGGGGTTTAAGCTTTTTGTCTCCCTGCATTCACTGCCAGCTTTTTTTCTTCTTCCATTTTTCATTAGAGACTTTAATATCCTTACCTGCGCAAGTCTCTGCTTTGTGCTCCAGAAAAAATGAGCAGGCTACACATTTCTTCTGTCTGCAGGTCTGTCGGGCCACAGCTGATAAGACTTAAGACTGGCCATGTATTCTTAGTCAGGGTCAGGGAGATAGAAAGTCTCCAGGCAAGACTGCAATGATAAGGCTGCATGTCTTTGGATATAAGCGTCAGCTAAAAGACATGTAATGAAATGTCTTGCTTAAAATGTGTTGACTGGGATTTGAATGGCCAACAAAATGATTCATTTTTTAAATATACAGGTTTATTGTTTGCCCTGTTTAGGATGATAATGAGAGAGAAGGACTGTGCTCAAGAAATAATGGGGGCATACACCGTGACTGCATCTCATTGTTGGATTGTATTGTTCATTATTTGTTCTGCTTGGCAAAGCTTCAGTAAACCTTCAATATAATACATCAAGTCAGTCTCCTGCAGCTTCATTTCCTTTCAGTACTCTGCTCATTAAGGTTTTCCTTAGTCTACAGAGATTTCAGTTATGTGTGTGCTTTTGTTTCTTCAAACATTTTATTATATGTACAGCACTTTGGCTCGACCAAAAATCGTTTAAAAATGTGCTATATAAATAAAACTTGATTTGATTTGATTTGATTCAAGAAAACTGCAAAACCTGACAATTTAACCAACAGTTAAAAAGTGAAAGAATAGGAATATCTTGGAATATGGATAGATAAAAGCATGGAGGATACATGTAAAATAGTAATATCAATTTATGAGGGTGAACCCCCTTAAAGACCAGTGTGTGGCTCATTTTTCAAATGCAGTTTCGAAAATAACAAAAAAAAGAGAAGCACAGGCAAAAGCTCAAATAGATTTACAATTAATTTTGCAAAATGCAAAGCTACACTTGAGCATATATGGACAGGAATGAAAACAATTGACCATCAAGCAACTTTGCTGGAAGCTGAACATGAAAGAGCATGTATGCAAATCTGTGCTGCTATATTTTGGGGAAAAATAAGGAAGAAGAGAAGGAAGGAAATATTAGTCATTGTGGAAATGTTTTCCGATCAGATGACTCACTAGATCCTGTAAAAAAGAGTCTGGGCGACACATTAGCGGTATTCATAAACAATAATACATATACTAATACAATAGTTTACATCATGCTAATGCATTTTTTATGGGCTTTGTGTGGGATAGAACAGACATCAACAACACAATAAATAAGATTGCCAATACCTTGTCTCCTCTTAATGTCAAAAGCAATCAGACATGTTTACTCATTAGAATTAGTCTCATCAGGAGGTTATATCTCTTTGCTTTGGTACTTAAAAATGTAGATGTGCATTGAAATGGAAAAATGTTTTATGATTTCAATTTGTATTTTGTTACATCCTCAACATTATTTTCTCATGTTTCTACTGCAATAGGTCATTTCAAAGTAATGCACTTCTATATTTCAAACAAGTTCATCACTTACAGTCAGAGGTGGGAAGTAACTAAGTGCAAGTGTACTTAAGTACAGTTTTGAGATACTTGTATGTTACTTGAGTATTTCCATTTTACGCAACTTTGTACTTCTACTTCACTACAATTATTAAGTACCATTAGTTACTTTACACATTTGGATTATAACATGAAATATAATCAACACTTAAATAAGACTTTAGTTACACCTGGAGTTAATTCACAAACTACCCTAAAGCATATGAAGTAATTTAAACTAGCTGCACCTTAACCAGCTTTGATAACACTTTAATCCATCAATAATTATAATCAAAACATATCATATATTATTCTGAAATAGACCAATTTGCATAATGAGTACTTTTACTTTTGGTACTTTGAGTATGTTTTGGTGCTAACTTGAGTAACATTTTGATTGCAGGACTTGTAACATAGTTTTCCTACACTCTGGCACTTCTATTTTTACTCAATTACAAGATCTGAATACTCCTCCCACCTCTAATATATTCTGCTCATACTGCTCCACATACAATACTTTTTTGAGGGTAATCTTTTCTTATTGGGCCTATTGACTATTCATTTTATTATATTTAATTTCCATGTATTGGCCTACGTAATATTATTTAATGTATCTTCACGTTTGCGGTTGTAAAACTCATCTAGTCGTAATTTCATTTCATTTCATGACATAAAACAGTATCGCATGCTCCGCCCACTGCTCTGCGTTTCGATGTCTCGGCTGCTGGGGAGTGGGGATATGATATCATTGCTGCAGGGTACCTGTCTGGGTCAGTGTGCGAGCAGAGGGATTCAGAACAGTTGAGCCCTGCCGAAGAAGAGAAATGTTGACCGTCTAAGGCCCAACATGATTCAGTTTGTTATATTCTTCATCTGGCTTGCTGGGGATTTTAAACTCGTTTTGAGTTCACCGACTCTTGGATCTAAAGACAACCCCAGACTTCTGAGCAAAGGTACGCTTCTCTTCGCCGTTATGACTGAAATGTTTTACATGTTTTGTCCCTTTAAAAATGTCTAATCAGATGTTTTGAAAAGTCAACTAAAGAGGTAATTCTGTATTGAGATCCTTTTTAAAGCCGCAAAGATCTAGTTCATTTAGATGACCCAATTGTATTGTCCACAATGATCCAAAACTTTATTCAATGAACGATGCAGTCAAATGATAACAGCGTGATGTTATTTTCCCTTTAGATATAATCTGCGGTGGATTTGAATACCCAGTCTATCAGAAGCACAGTGTGTTTTTCTATCATGAGGACTCAGAGGAGATATATGTAGGAGGCACGAATTTTGTGCTGAAACTGGATGTGGAGGGCTCTCATATTATGGAGGTGGGTGTTTCTGATCTTTGTATTTAGTTTATTCACATGCACTTGCCTGTATATTCTTTATATAATGGTGTATTGATGGACTCCCAGCTTGATTTCTTTGTGGTTCAAGAAGGTGGCAGTTGGTTTGTGATGCAGATGGGGTCATAATAAGATTTGCAGCAGATGGCTGACAGAGACACATGGTTTCAAGAGGAGTCTAGGGGGCATGCATTTTAGCAGCAGGGGGTTAACTAATGTCACAATCAGACCCTGATGACATACACGTTTTTATAATAAAAAAACACAGGAAAGTCAGAGAACACAAAAATAATAAATTACAGACTAATGATTGTTTATTGTTTTTGAAGAAATTAAATGGCCTCTGTGACCGTAACTCAGACATACATCTTAATTAAACTAATGGCTACTGGTCTGTGGGAGGAGCGGCTGAAGCTACTTAAGAAGAAGACATTAACCTAAGTGAAATAGTTTTGGCCCAAGAAAGCCATATATTATCCACCTATCTCTTACATTTAAAAGCCAATCTATTAGGCAGAGCTTTGAATGAAGCATTCTCCATTGGTTAATAAGTGATTAAGTGATTTTTTTCAATATGGTATTGCTTTCTTTATAATAAAAATATTTCATTAAAAAACTATCCTTAAGTGAAACCTTAATTAATTTGTCCGCTAATTGATGTCCCCTTGCAGAATTTCTCGCTGAAAGCCCCAGACCAGCAACACTGCCAAGAGGTAAGTAAGACGACAGTGATGGTGTTTGTAATAAAAAGAAAATGGCAGGTCAAATGACAGGTTTTCTAAAAAACATATTTTCAAAATGAGATATATGATCAGTTCTGTGTGATGTCTTGTTAATAATCACCTCTGTATTTGTAGGGCCAATGTGAAAATGTCATCACAGTGATTGAGAAGTTTCAGGACAGCATGTTTGTCTGTGGAACAAATGGAAACAAACCGCAGTGCTGGAAGCTTGTAAGTGTTTGCGTCCATCACGGAAAATGTTATACTTTGTCACATGTGTCTGAAATACTGTCGTTCATGTGGCTAGGTAATTTACTGGCAACCATATGGAGATGAATAAAGCATGAAGCTCTTTGGTGTAGCTGCTGTGGTTTTGCTTAAACTTTAATCAGCATCCTGTGCGTAATTTCAGTCGGGTGTTCAATGGCTGGTGTCTGGATATTTTTCCAGCAAAACTAATCCCGATATTCTTTTTTATTTCTTTTGTTCTACAGTTTTCGTCAGTGAACAACCAGTCTCTTGAAATAGTGGATAGCTATGAGGGGATGGGTATCTCTCCGTTTGTGTACTCGCACAACGCCATTTCGCTCACTGTAGGTATGTTAAATACAACTTCCTGCACAACCATACAGTAACCCATGATTTTAAAGGTTTACAATTGTGACTCTAGTCTACAGACTTATGTAACCACATCGTGTCATGTGTGATAGAAGAGTTGGTAACCAGCGCACAGAAATATACCTACTCAATAATTAAACATCTCTGCTATTTGCAGAGGGGGATCTTTATTCAGCTGCGCCTTTGGACACGGATGGAAGTTCATTACAATTCAGAAGGAAAGCTGGTAGCAGAACTAATGTCTGGATGTATGACAACTGGATCTCAGGTGGGTAAATGACGGAAGTAAACTCATAATGTTGGATGAAAATCAGCAGGAAATATTGACTCCATTTTGATTACAAAGTATGCTCCTGATAAGCACCAGTTTGTCAGCTTGTTTTGTCCCCTCCTGAGAGCTCTTTCATTACATTTTGTTTTGTTTTCACATGCTAACGGAAATGTAAACAGGGAAGCAGCTTGGTAAACATGTCCTCCTCTCATAGAGCCCACGTTCATCTCTGCGACGTGGGTGGAGCAGAGGGAAGAACCTGACAATGAGAAAATATACATATTTTTCCGTGAAAAGAACTCGGATCACAACCCGGAGGCTGACCCCTGGATATCGAGGATTGCCAGAGTCTGTAAGGTACGTTGGGCACTGAAGTGGACTCAGCCTACGTCAGTGAGGCTCTTAATTTACTGCAACTGCAACACACAATTTCCAGAAACCTCTTAAGTTCTGTTTATACTTATATTGATATTAAAAACAAGATTTAGTATGGACACTGTCAATATTTTTGTATCAATCCACCAAACCCTTATTCCTTATTCCATCTTCTTGGAAATAAATGAAATATTTATGAAGGTCATGTAATATGATCGAAAGTATCAGAATACCTACTAAGTGGACATTGAAGTGAGATTATTTTGTCAACTGCTGTTCCCAAACTCAAGAATACATTTTGAAACTGTGTCTTTAAACATGACTGCAAACAAATCAACCACACTTTAATTAGGTTTTTAAAGCAGTACAAAAATACATGTAGCATGATTTACTAACAGAAAATTACTTTACCCTTTTTAATTGATTTTTAAATGAAACAGATAGTTCATTTGCTGGCCACTTCAGCAGATTTTAACGTTGAAGTTTTGTGAGGGCGTTGGCTGTGCCTCCCACAGTGGCCCTTCCTGAATTTACCAGTCAAAGGAGATGAAAGGTTTTGTTTGATGTTGACTTTAAATATTTTCCAGGAACCATGGGTGGGTGAGCCACTATTTATTGTGGTTTTATAATCGGAGAATGTCATATTGTCATGTACATATTGAGGTCTCAAGCTGTCTGCATTGATAATATATATCCTGTTTAGCTGCATTGTGTGAAAACAAAGGGTGATGGAAATAAAGTAAAGTGATATCCTGCAGTGTCATGGCTGTCAGGATTTGACAATTGCATACATATATTTATGGCGTCAGTGCAACCATCTGAAGCTAACTAAGCCTTCATGAATCAATCAGGCTTCTACTCCCTCAATACAACTAGCTTTGCATGTTGTCATTGGGGTGAAACACAACCTTTCAATACCCTTGATGTTTGATACCTATGGAGACACTCAACCTGCCCCAAAAGCGGTTAGGTGTTTTTTTCCAGGTCAAGGTCCATGTAACATCAGTCCTATCAAATAACCCTTAGTTCATGAATTTCGGTTGCATGAAAAGTGAAAGAGAGTCTACCTGGTGTAATTCATTTGTGTTATTCTGCAGGTAGATGAAGGTGGATCGAAAAGATTTTTCCAGAACATGTGGACATCTTTTCTCAAGGCCCGGCTTGTTTGTGGATTTCCTGAGAAGTCGCTTTATTTCAACCATCTTCGAGACATTTTTGTTGTGCACGCCGAGGACTGGGTTGACACGAGAGTCTATGGCCTTTTTACAAGCAGCTGGTTAGACACTTTCCCTTCCTTTTAATAACAGCAACTAAGCAACACCATTAGTAACACGCTGACATAGAACAGCTCACACTTTAAATTGAAAGGTCAGCATTTTGAAATGTTTTCACCACTCTTCTCCTGGAGAGTGGCATATCTGCATTACAATCTTGTTTTCTTACAAAAATAATAACTAAGACCTAATACAAATCTGCTCCTGAGGTTGTCATGTATTGTTTTGACCCTCTTATGTAATGGTCCATTTTCCAGACAGGTTACACCCACACATTCAATGAGAGTTCATTTAATTACCAACTACCTTTAAGTCCTACATAAGGAGATGACAGAGAATTAGCACTCTTCTTTAAGATTGGGGAACACAAAAAGCCCTTAGCCCTTTTAGTCAAGGTGTATAGCCAAAGGCCACTCCACCAAATCGGTAATATTGGCAGGGCTTTTATGTCTGATCTTGAAATTCAACGTTTTTGTCAGTGTTATGGAGGGTTTGTAGGATACACGAAGTTGGATTGACAGGGTTGCATTAATGTTCCATTTTCTTAGTGCTGCACCCTATCTGGCCAAACTTTTAGAAGTTACTCAAATCTCCGTTGCCCTATGCCAAAACATTTTTTTGGTCAAAAATCCTCACATTTCTGTTTAAGACTTTCTGCTAACAGAAAAACAGAATGAGGCAATGGGTCACAATCATAACCCTAACCACCACCATATATAATCTGTATCTTTTAATGCTAACTTCAGTTATCTTATTTCTCTTTAAGGAACGCCACAGCGGTGTGCATATATACAATAGGAAAGATTGAAGACGTATTTGAGAAGTCAACTTTCAAGGGATACAACAAAGACATTCCCAAGCCAAGGCCAGGAACGGTAAGCATTTGTTTTGTTGCCATGTTGCTGTGCAGAGACAGAATAACATGTTTCTAACAAAGTCTAAAAAAAACAGGCATAAATGGGTTTGAATGTGGAAAATGTGTATTTGTATTACTTCTCGTTCTCAAATGTGGTTCAGTGTTTCCATCTGTAGATCAAATGTAATCTATTTGAGCTCAACCCTACTTCTGACTCATGCATAGTGGTTCCCTGAAGGAGGAGCACTTGTTGCTATGTTTTGTAAAGAAAACCCTGTTCCTTCCATCTGTTCAGCCTATAGTTAAAAAATGATTTGTCCATTTATAAACAACTGGGGATGCCTTCAGCTTTGTAAACCTAAATATTTGCTTAACCCTGAGTTTCCTACAAACATCCGGTTTATGTTCCCATTTTCTAAAGTATACAATCTATTAAAAAAAACTCTGTGCATTTATTTGTCAGTGTGTAAAAAACAGCAGGAACCTGCCACTGGCCACCGTCAATATGGTGAAGGATTACCCGGAAATGAATGACTGGGTTGAATCGATACATCAAACAGCTCCGTTTTATGTAAGCAGCAACAACTACACCAAGATTGCTGTGGACCGAGTGCAGGCAGCAGATGGGTGCATGCATAACATTCTGCTTCTAGCTACTGGTATGTTCTAGTTGGAAAGAAATACCAGATTTTTCTTGGTCTTTTACACTTTTGTTTTAGCTACTTCAGGTCTGAGTGTTTTCCTGTTGATCTGGCTTGTCATCATCGTCTGTAATGTTGGCGAGACAAAACGTGCTGATAATACAGCATTCCTCTGAGAATATGCCAGAAAATGTTTGTGTGCTGTCCCAACAGATTCTGGGAAGATCCATAAAGTCTTAGAGGCCGGGGAAGAGCCTTTCATCATCTCCGAAACACAGCTCTCCAGCCGCTCAACTGTACAATCAATGAAGCTTGACTCTAAAAAGGTATTTTAAATGGTGATAATAAAGCTCAAGGAAGAAGTATTTTGTAGGCCAACCCAGAATTAAGCATTGCAAGGGCTCCCTTGACCAATGCAATGTGATTTCCCCATTGGATTTCGCTGTATGGAAGAAAATAAGCTTTGTTGCCAACACACCTTTATGATACTCAACACATTTTGTTCAGCTTCTTGCACTGCTGCAAGGAACACAAAACTACTATTAATGCAGATTTAAAGTGAAATCATGTTACTGTCTCCCTTTTCTTAGAAAAAGTTAGTGGTGGGTTTCTCAGAGAAGATTTCGATCATTGACCTTCAGAGGTGTCAGGAGTACAACCAGTCCTGTGCAGATTGTGTTCTGGCCCGGGACCCCTACTGTGTCTGGACAGAGTTTGGATGCACCAAGACTGTCACGTAATTTTGAACAGCATGTGCATGTTCTTCTGAATATTGCATTATAACATAAGATTACATAGAAAAACTATAAAAATAGGACAAAGTCATTCATCTCTCACAAAGAAATGCACCTGTTTGATTATATTATGTTTTTGTTCACAGTGGAGGCATTCAAAATATCCGTGATGGGAACCGAAGTGTGTGTCAACCATCTGACGAAGGTAACTTATGATAAGACTATTAATAGTGCACACCTGCTGGGGTCTCAGCAACCTTTGGTCTCATCTTTATTTTATCTTCTTTTTATTTTTTGTAGAGCAAAAGCAAGTTAACCGGACCAAACGGGAGACAGATTCATTATCTACGGTGGATTTGAGGACAGCCCACTCGGTCCCCCTTAGTGTCCCCTTCTATTTGTCCTGTCCTATAGACTCTTACCACGCTGTGTACACCTGGGAGCATGCAGGCCAGAGCAGCCCATGTCTACAAATGCAGTCCAACTGCCTGCACCTGATCCCCGCCATGACGAAAGAGAACTATGGTGGCTATGAGTGTGTTTCCAAGGAGAGAGACTACACCAAAGTGGTGAAAACATATCAGCTTAAACAGCAAACGATCCAGGATACAAATAGAAACACTGATGGAAGCAATGGCCATTCAAGAATACAATATGCATCAGCTGTTGTGCCGCAGATAACATGGATCACCCTCACACTGGCTGTAACAGTGTCTGGGATTTTCAGATAGGCTTTGCACAATTGACTATTTTAAACTAAGCATTCCTTTCTTTTTGTAATGCTTTTGTGTTGGGCCAAACCTCCTGTTTTTTCAAACTAAGCATCGACATCCTCAGCCCCTTTGTCCTTGGCCAGGATGCTAGCAGCATTAAGGCTAACTCACTTCCATGAAGCTTGCAACTCAACAATCGAAGCAGGAACACACCTGCTGTGAACCTACCCTCACAGTGGTCGCTGTGTTTGGAAGAATCGTAAGAGATATAAGTCAGAAACATGCTGTAGCCAGGTTACTTTGTAAAAAGAGAAGCTTGGACGGGAAGAGAGAGGTGGTGTACGATGGAGCAAAAGAGCAGCACCACCAGTCAGCAGCAGGGCCCAGCTTAAATAATACTGAGGGTCAATAATAGGGTGTGTTTGGATCATCTCAATATCCGTCAATAACCTCAGTGTCCTTCATACATTACTGCAATATCATTGAGTAAGTAATAATCTTCCTTTTTAAAGCTAGGGGAACAGGGAAGATGTAAGAAGTGAATTCCTTTCAACCAGAGCTCAGTCCAAACCGAAGCCTTTAAAATCATCCTGGGCTCCAAAGCGTGTGCACGGACAGAACAGCACACAGTGAGTATGTATTGTGGGGCAGAAGAGTGTGCACATGTTGAGGCCATATCTATTAGAGGTCAGAATTTTTTTTTAAGTTCCTGTGACAATCCTGTTGACAGATTATTTGTGTTCAAGGAAGGGTGGAGGCAGCTGGGGACCTGCCTGGTTAAACTCTCCCTCTGTCGAAACAGTGGTCAGAGAGGCGTTTGGAGAATGTGCAATGAAAATGCTTTGCTGCAGAGGAGACAATATCTGACTCCAAAAACAATAGGCACATTGTTTACTTTATTCATATTTATAACCAATCGATTTTGGAGAAAGTTCATCAAGTTAAAATGTGCATTGACATACAGAAACACATCAATATTAGCTTCGGGGTTAGCATTTATTTATTTTAGTCCCATATTGTAATACTTTTGCGACATCTATACATCTGGTATTGGAGTTTCATATATAAGCTATTTTTCCAGTAAGTTATTGATATTATACAATACAGTTTTATTTATAAAGCACTTTAAAACCTCTAGACCAAAGTGCTGTACAGTCAAATAAACAACACAAAACATACAACAAATCACACAGCAAAGCTCACACACCATAAAACAAGTACAAGTTAAAACAATAGACAAAGTAAGATATTAAAGTAAGACTATGTAAATGTTGTCGCACAGTAGCCACTGTTGCCACAAGTGATACTGTATTACGAGAAAATAGATACAAGTTTGAGAACCAGCTTGGTATGTCCATTACTGCAATTTGGCTAAAGTTAGCAAACACTAGCATCCAAAAGCTCATCAAGACCTAGTAAGGCTCCAGCAGCAAATCCTAATTAGATTAAATTAAGCAGTGGTATGTTTTATTGTAGAGAAATACCTGCTTTTCCAAAAGTTACATTGTCTTAATTTAAAATACAAACTATTCGTTAAATGTTTTAAAAATAAAAATATATATTTTGGTACAATGTGCTAGCATTAGTGTCCTTATCATTTCAAAGATTATATATTTTTGTATGATGATTTCTTGGGAAGTCTAAATAAAGAAACTAAAGGGAGTGTTGTCATTCCTCTACACCTGTAAGTGGTTTCGGGAAAGGAGTTGATTTAGTCCTCAGTAGGTCATGCGTTTATCAGACTCAGTAAACCACTTGCAGCTTGAGCAGAGTACAGACAAGAAGTAATGATCTTTATCTTAATCTGTTTTATTCCGGGATCCAAAGTCTCAACCCTGCTCATGACGGCATCTTGTTGATACAAGAATAATTAGTCACAACACAACTACTTATCTCTTTGGCCATTACTGCACAACAACATTACTGCACGACAACATGGGTGGAGATCCTGCATTCTTGTAGATTTTCTTTCAGATAAAATAATTGTACTTCAAAAGCTTTAAAGTGTTTTGATCTTGCAGTTTTCTTTTCCAGCATCTAATATCTAAGATCAACACCCAGATCACACATTTACTTGGACAGTCAAATCTGATTTCCTTTCTCAGATAATGAATACTTCTTAACTCTGGCATGAAACAAAAACAAACTGATGTGAGTTTGTTGTTACTGAGGAAATAACAAAATTGAAGCAGCGTGTTCGCTCTCCTATTTTGGTACCACACCCTGCTTGTACTATGTGAGGGTGTCACCCTAAATTTAGGAAACAATCTTTCAACACAATGTGTTCCAAATCAATATGAAGTCATAGAAAGTGCGGTGTTAGGCTCCACCAATACCACAAATGAGTCAGTTGTGTTCAACCGAGGATAAAACACAGTTGAGAAAGAGTTAGCTTCATGTACACTGTTTAAAACTGTTATTGTGTAGCTTAAACAGCAGCGAGTGCAGCGTGGCTACAGAAGAGTCACCTACTGTACAATCTTGCTATCAGGTCACTTTAATTAGGATCATGGAGTCATTTGTTTAAGCTGCAGTTGACGCGCCACCTGACCTTACAGCTCACTGCCTCCTGTAGTTCAGTGTCTGTCGGCCTGCAGACAGTTGACATGGTTACTTGTAGTTCAGGGCGAGACATTCAAAATATGTTTTCATGTAGCTGCGGTCGACTACACCACTATTAGTCATTGTTTGCTCCAGCCTGTTGAATGTATGCTGTAACCTCTCTGCTAAAGCTGTATGTAACCTTGGCTGCATATGAATAAGCATCACTGGGGTACATGTATGCACTTCATTCCTATCATCTAAGATAGTAAAAACATGTTGGTAATCATGAACAACTTTCTTCCAAATCCAAAAGAACATGAGTTGTAAAACTTAAATGTATAAAGTCTGAAACTGCTCCATTGACAATGAATTGATTGACATTGGAAGCGCCCAAGGGAATGGTGTAAGTGTATGAGCACATTTTCTGTTGCACAAATGACAACATTACAATAATATAAAGCTCATTTGGGTACACTATGGGTAAAAAAAAAAACAGTCTCTCTTGTAGTCTATTAAGCCTGTCCAGATGTTATACTTGATGAAGGCAACAGTTTGAGACTTGATTGATTGATCTTTCCCAGGCAATGGAAACAACATATTGGAATTATTTTCTCAGGTGTTTGTTGACCTTTAAGATGCACTTTGGGTATCAGCAGCTCTGAGTCTCGATGGCGCACAGTCCAAACTTTGAGATACAGGGACTTCTGGTCACTGTTGTGCTCTGATACGAGCCTGAAGAGACCTTGATCCCACTTGGGCCACAATTTACAGCTCCCCGTTTTCCTGCTGTGCCTCAGGAAAAGGAAGACTGGAAGACTGCCAAGTAATTGTGGTACAAAAAAAGAAACAAATAAATCTTTCAAGCAAGGGAACCCCACCCTGAGTTTAAAAACAAACTTAACACAGAAAAGCAACACTACATAAAATAGATTTACCATTTGTAAAACGTATACTGTAAAATGTACCTACAGGACTGTTAGGTGTACAATAATTATACAGATTCATTCTACAGTCATAACAGGATTGACATATTTACAACCTCAAATATCAATCTATGATAGCATAATACCTAACCCTCAGCATAAAATGAACTCTTATCAGACATGTCTCTCAGTGACCAGCCTGGTCAAACAACACAGTCAATTCAGCAGTTTATGTGTGTAGTTGTTTTAGTCATTTGACAACAGAGGTCACTGTTATTTAACAGGACTGAAGAAACACAAATAAATACCCTAAACTCAACCTTAACCCTAAAACCAAGTCTTAAAAGATAGGGTCACATTTAAAAAAAAAAAAAAATTTGAGTCTTAAAACAACATACATGCCCATTTATACATGTTACCAGTTCCAGCCTGGGCAATGTTGAGGTGTCCTTGAGCAAGGTATATCTTCTACAATTATTTTGAGCCTATATGTGTGTGATAAAAATGTTAAATTATATAAAGTAAACATTGATTATCCCCAAGAGAAAGTAATACATTTCCCCTCAAGGGATTAAGAAAGTATTCTTTAGCTTTTAAAGTTAATCAAATCTTGAGAATCTTCCAGTTATTTTGGTGGGGATTATACCGTGTGTGTGATTTTGTGTCAACAAAAATATCATCATAATGAACGACAATAACACACAATGCATGATTAATAAGTACCAATGAAAGGTAACAAGTTAAAATGGACCCCTCCCCATACCGTTTCAACACATAATCAGATAAACTGATGTCTCCAAAAGTTCAGACAAAGCTATGAACTAAGGATTCAACCTTATTGCTTGTAGTAAGTTAAACAAGTGTGACTCAAAGTCTATAGATTCATTAAATATTCTCTTACTCAGGGGATAAATTGGGATTTGATATGTGGGGGGGCTCTGTGTGGAGGTGCGAGAGGGGGGCGGAGGTCGAGGATCTCATTATTTGACCTCAAGGGATATACACTGTGGCCCTAAAGCAACTGCTCCATTATCTGTATCAAATGCACACATTGATGCCACCAAATGTCACAATAAAAACAGAAAGTACTACAAATAAACTGGAATTAATTTACATCTTAAATTATTAATATATATATACACAAAAAAAGGTTTACAAATATACAACCTTCAAATTGCTTTTTTAAATCAACACTTGCTAAAGAACATTTTTGTGGAAATCTCAATTCATGGCTGCGTGAGTATGGCCAAAAGTATGGGAGTAAATCTCACTGTAAACTATTTAATCATCACCAAATTCTGTGTTATTATGACCGATCATAACTCAGCTTTATGCAGACATACATTTAGCATGGTGTACAGGGCCGGTTTTTGGCATAGGGCGCCTAGGGCGCCAGATCTGGGGGGGCGCTGCGCTGGCAGCTCTGGGAGGGAAAAAAACATTTTTGACTTAATTTTCAGCCTTGATGTAACAACATTCATAATTAAGTAAATGTAACACCCCCAGTTACACTTTTCATTTGCCCTGTACGATGGGCGCTGTAAGTGATGAAAGTGGGGGGTGTTGGCTTATCAGGCGTCCGCAGCTCACAGCTAAAGTGGGCGTGGGAGCGATCGAGAGAGATAAATGCAATTTATGTAAACAAATATTTCCAAGGCACTCCTTTATAATTATTGGGATAAACAGGTTTGAAATCATTTCAATATACTATAGGACATTAAACCAAAAATATTGTTTAAAACTTGAGAGATAAAAAAATATGCATAAATAAATGTTAACTAGGTAAAATAAGATATGAATGAACAACAAAAATAAAATAAGTTACATTTATTTGTTATTGGCTATGGTAGGTTATTGGTTATGTTCACATATTTGGTTATTAAAATGTAAACCGATCTTTTTAATATGGGTGTTTAAAGTTGTACCCCCTAGATCTAGTCATTAATAATGTGTGCTTAAAGTGCACCAGATTGAAGCATTTTACTTTACATTTTCAAACATTTCTTCCCGGGGGGGGGGGCATACCCCCGGACCCCCCTAGAGGATGTGACGTCCACACCCCAATTAAAACATGTTCATACAATACTGAATACATTTGAAGCCTTTTTGATGTATATTACCTATGTCAATAAGTTTTTGTTTTTGTAGTGTATTGGTCTTTTGTAGAGATTTTTCATTTATTCTTTATATATTCTATTGTGTATTCCTTGGATACTTTCATCTTTTCTACTGTACGATTGAAGTAAATGTGGGAAGCGTTTAACAACAGCCATTTACTTCAAAGATTTTTCTCAATGTTATTCTTATTTATTTATAAGAGTCTTACTGATCATTTAATTAGTGTTTTGCACTGGCCAATTTAGGCTAAGTGGTTTGTTGTTTAAACTAGTAGAGTTCATACCACAGTACACCACACGATGGCAGTATTTGAGCAGGAAACAAGTCCCCTTGGATACTAATCTTTAGGATTTAAACATTTCAGCAACAATGAGTTATAGTGATTTTTTTTTTTTAAGATAATAAAGCTATAGACATACGATACGTGACCTAATACATTACAAACAAACCGGTGGGTTAGCTTAAAATCAATATATGACTTCATGTTTGCCATTGAGAATATTTGAGAATAACAATTCCATAAAGACGTTTCTATTAGTTTTAATGCCACATCCGGTTGTACCCTTCACTAAAAATTAAATGTAGGCGAGTGTCACATATAACATAATAAAATGCAATCATCTTCATTTGATGTGATGTTAGTCTGTTTGTTGGCTTTTGTTGTTGTTGTTGTTGTTGTAAGCCTGGTACTCTCAACACAACTCAATTTAAATCCTGTCTTTGAGCAACAGAGCGCACATACGGGTTATTCTGCTCTGACAGCCAGGCATGACAGGTCATCTGTGACGTGTCGCTCTCTCAAAAGTAACAAATATGAACCAAAACATAAAATAATGCACAACGTTGTTGTTTCTCTCAAAATGTGGGCCCTTTTGTCTTCATGTTCTCATAGGAAAGAACGAGACCCCGCCTGCAAAAGTCATGTGAACAGATCCGCAACCATTAAACTTGTTTCAGAGGATTGTAAAACTCCAGGAAGTGATCAATAAGACACAGGAATTGAAGTTAACATTTTACAGGTAAGACGATTAAGCAGTTGATGGTGCTGCTACTACTGCAGGTGAAAAGAATCATTTAGATCAAGATGTATTTAAAAAGAAGTGGAAAACATCGCTCCGGAGGATAATTGTAACTCTGTATCGGTCAGGATTGGGGGGAAATAGGAACCAAATGCAGTAAAAGGACAAAAAAAAAGTGAAGTAACAAAAAGCGAGCTTTATTTCCCAAAGCCGATGACAAAAGAAAACAAGGAACAACTTAACATTACCAAAACCAGGGGAGTACGAGGATGGAAAACAACAAACTTCAGGAACAAACATGGAGCGTGACAGGAAGGGAGTATGGGATTAGTTTTGTTTCATAAAGATAAAGCAACACTTCTCAGAATCAAGCAAAACTAAGAGTTTAAGAGAAAAAGATATTCATTGCTATCGGGATGTTAAGAGCATTCCATGGAATATAACAAAAAGTGTATCTCGAGCCGGTTTCTCAAACGTACCTACCCCACCTTTAAGAGAAAAAAAAACTGAGTCAAGCAAAATAAATGTAATTTCAAAAATAAAACTACAAGTTGCAAACAAATAATTTGTGTAATCATGTAAACTATTAGTATTTTTTCTTTGTTTTAACATATCTTTTTGTTTACAGTTCTCTTTGTTTCTTTCTCAATGATCAGACTTTTGCTCTCGCTGCAGCTCTTCACTTTTTCGATTCTGACACAAACGTCTTAGGTGGGCGGGACTTTCAGGGGTGCGTCCCCATTGGCTACTCCGTTTTTGAGTGACAGCCCACTACACCACAGATCATACAGTGCAACTCATGCAGCAAACTGCGGAGTCCACTCGGCCACGTTTGTGTTGGTGTCTCCTCCTGGGGAGTTTTCATGAAAATATCGGACTTATCTTATGGATTGCTGTGCATTATACTTGTGTTGTGTAGTTTATACTTTATTCCAACTTTAAATATTTTAATACCTGAACACACTGCTGCTGTAAAATAATTTCCAAATTTGGGATTGATAAAGTGTCTGTCTGTCTATTTATTTATTTTATAGATAAAAAAAAAACCCATCTATGTATTTTCAACTAAAGGTGATACACAATATAAACTGTATACTGTTATTTTTTCAAAGACATGTTACATTTCAAAAGCATATATTGCTATGTTTAGGACAAACAATTAAAGACTGCTTTCATTTAACAAATTCTACAATATAAAAGTGGCATATTTGCTTTATTAAACAGACCAGACCTAGGTTGCATACCAACAAAATTAGGAACATGCTTACATCTTACTATGTTGGTCTGAAGAGCTGAAGCATTTATTCATACACAATAAAAAGCGGTGTTGTCTCATTTTATATCATGTGAGAAAATGATATACATTTAGCATTACAAATTCAACATACTATTCCTAGCCTGAGGAAGATCTGAATAATCAACATATTTGAATGGAATCTCTAACATTTTCATGTAGAATAAAGACAAAAGAGTGATTATACAAATTACAATTATTGAAATTTTAACCAGAAGATGAAGTCTCAAAGAATGTTTTAAATAAAAGGACATAAAACAAAAAGGTGGATAATAATAAAATATATTAAATGTATATGTAAAGACATTTGGTCAAATGAAATGACACTGAGCAAGTGATAACAGCAACACCCAGCGTGGATGAAGATGGTGCAGGTCTTTCTGCATGCCCCCTCAGTGGATCTGATGCTGTCCCCTCAGAGGAAGTGGGAAAACGGGATAAGACTCTGGACACCATGCTGTCTCAATGATCCACACTGTTAATATGAGAGGAAAATAAATGCTTTAGGAAATGAAAAATATGAAGTTAACAAATAAAACTCAGCTCAGGGGCAGTCCTGTAGGTTTTCCTACAAAGTAAACTCAGCCTCCATTGATTTTCATATCAAATTAGCGTGTTAGTAAAATAAGCTATCATGGCTTATACTTGCATATCTAAACAGAATCATGAAAGCCTGTTGGTAGAGTCAGGCACACAGGAGTCCGTTTGAGTGTGTCTGCCGGTGTCTGAACGCTCACTCACTGCTAGCTATGTATCTAACTGTCCCTGCTGTTAGGCTACTTAGCTTGCATTGTTATGGATCTAAAGGTAGAAAAAGCTAACTTTCATAGCACAGCTTTTCTTTACTTCTCACTTAACACAATAAAGAAAGAAACAGACTGTATAGTACAGCACAAACAACACAAATGATCAATACTTACATATATTTTCACTTGTAGTATTATACTAATTGAAATGCTGGTTATTCTGGGGGTGTTCTATCCACGCTCAGCTACCGCACCGCAGGTGCACTGTACAATCGCTGGGCTGTCACTCAAAAACTGAGTAGCCAATGAATGCACCCCTGAAAGTCCCGCCTACCTGGGACATTTGTGTCAGAATCGAAAACAAAAAATGAGGGAGAGCAAACGAGAAGAGCTGCAGCGAGAGCAAAAGTCTGATCATTGAGAAAGAAGCAAAGAGAACGGCAAACAAAAAGATATGTTAAAACAAAGAAAAAATACTTATAGTTTACATGATTACACAAATTATTTGTTTGCAACTTATAGTTTTATTTTTGAAATTACATTTATTTTGCTTGACTCAGTTTTTTTTCTCTTAAAGGTGGGGTAGGTAAGTTTGAGAAACCGGCTCGAGATACACTTTTTGTTATATTCCATGGAATGCTCTTAACATCCCGATAGCAATGAATATCTTAAGTGCTTTGACAAAAAATCCATAAAAAAGTCATCTGTGGAAGCCGTAGTACTGTAAAAAGCACGACCAATCATTTTAGCCGGCCCGGCTAAAATGACTGGATGGCCTACCTGCCTGTCAGCCTTCCATCTGTGCACAAACTTATCTCGTGCCCTCATTGGTCATGTGCGCGTTCGTGTGTGTTGGAGGAGGGGCTCTGTAAGGAAATGGCAGATTTTTTCCGGTTGTGTATTTTCAAATTCTAGCGCACTCGAGCTGGTTTCTCCAAAATTACCTACCCTACCTTTAAACTCTTAGTTTTGCTTGATTCTGAGAAAGTGTTGCTTTGTCTTTATGAAACAAAACGAATCCCATAGGAGGACGGACAGGTAGCATGGACTTAAGAAAACGGGCAGGTAACATGGACGACGAACAGACATGGAGCACAGGGGAAGACTAAATACACAGAAGGGTAATCACAGGAAAAGACACAGCTGGGCAGGGGAGGCAGAAACACAAGGGCAACAGGTGAACACAATGAGGCACAATCAGACACAGGAGGGAAACTTAAGACAGGAAGGCAAACACAGGAAGTAGGACCAGACAAGACACAAAGAGGAAAACATTTCAAAATAAAAGGTGGAAAATGAAAACAACATAAATCCAAAACCATAACAGAATCACAAGGACAGATGCCCTTGTGATAATGAGTGCAAAATACCTAGCTGCGCAAATTGATAATGTTAATTTTGCAATTTAACTTTAATTTCTAATTTCTGAAAGTCAAATGGTTTTGATTCACTGCAAAAATCTAATGTTTTATCACCATTAATAGTGCCAGTATGTCCGCAACGGATGGTGAAGGCGCGCTGAGAGAACACCTGACCCTGAAATTGCTGCAAACATGATACACAGCATATGTGCATGTATGCTTTAAAAAGTGAACATGGCGTTTTCCCATTGCATGTCCGCTGGTGTAATGGACATAATGGAGCTTATGTGCTTGCCTTCTAAAAATGTGCCTAATGTTTGATAATTGATGCTTGCAGGTGCAGAAAATGGCGGGACGGCTCCTTCAGCTCCTCGCCTTGTGGACTATCGTGGTCGGCGTTGTGCAGTGCTGTCCAGAGCTCTGCAGCTGCCAGGATAAATTTGCCCACCAGTTTGCTGACTGTTCTTACAAAGACCTGCTGGTGGTCCCCCTGGGTCTGCCCTCCAACGTTACCACCGTGAGCCTTTCTGCCAATAAAATCAAAATACTGAAAAGTAAAAGCTTCATCAATATCACGCAGGTCACCTCTCTCTGGCTGGCCTTCAATGAGATAGTTACCATCGAAACGGACACCTTGGCCGCCCTCGTCCAGCTCCGCAACCTGGACATCAGCTACAACAAAATTGTGAACTTTCCGTGGCAGGATCTGCTCAACCTTACAGCCCTGCAGCTTCTCAAAATGAACAACAATGAGATGCTGAACCTTCCTAAGGACGCCTTCTCCACTCTCAAAGACCTGAGGTCGCTGCGCATCAATAACAACAAGTTCACCACCATCGTGCAGGGCACCTTTAATGCTCTCACCTCCATGTCACACCTTCAGATTTTTAACAACCCCTTCACATGCTCCTGCAGCCTGGAGTGGCTGAGGGATTGGATTCTGACAACAAAGATTTCTGTCCCCGAGCCAAATTTAGTTTCATGCGAGGCCCCTGAACACCTGAAGGGCACAATGGTTACATTGATTCCCAAACTGGACTGCAAGGCCCCCACTGTCAAAATCTCCTACGAGCCCAACATTGAGATCACAGAGCTCTACGAGGGTTCAACGGTTATTTTAAATGATCAGGCACTAGGCAGCCCCACACCACAGGTCAGCCGGGAGGTCACTGGGAATTGCAGCTGCTCTGCTGTTGAGCTGCAGATAACATGGATCACCCTCACACTGGCTGTAACAGTGTCTGGGATTTTCAGATAGGCTTTGTGCAATTGACTATTTTAAACTAAGCATTCCTTTCTTTTCTTTTTTATGCTTTTGTGTTGGGCCAAACCTCCTGTTTTTTCAAACTAAGCATTCCCTTAAGGGATTAAGAAAGTATTCTTTAGCTTTTAAAGTTAATCAAATCTTGAGAATCTTCCAGTTATTTTGGTGGGGATTATACCGTGTGTGATTTTGTGTCAACAAAAATATCATAATAATGAATGGCAATAACACACAATGCATTATTAATAAGTACCAATGAAAGGTAACAAGTTAAAATGGACCCCTCCCCATACAGTGTCAACTCATAATCAGATAAACTGATATCTCCAAAAGTTCAGACAAAGCTATGAACTAAGGATTCAACCTTATTGCTTGTAGTAAGTTAAACAAGTGTGACTCAAAGTATAGATTCATGAACATATTCTCTTACTAATCATTGAATTAGTGTTTTGCACTGGGCACTTTAGGCTAAGTGGTTTGTTGTTTAAACTAGCAGTGTGCATACCACAGTACACCACACGATGGCAGTATTTGAGCAGGAAACAAATGCCCTCGGATACTAATCCTTAGGATATAAACATTTGAGCAACAATTATGACTTGTAGTGTTTTTTTTTTAAAGATAATAAAGTAGACATAAGTGACCATATACATTACAAATAGACCAGTGAGTGAGCTTAAAATAAATATAGAGCTTCATGTTTGCGATTGACAACATTTGAGAATAACAATTCCATAAAGACGTTACTATTAGTTTTTATGCCACATCCAGTTGTACCCTTCACTAAAGCTTGACGTTGGCTAGTGTCACATAACATAATGAAATGCAATCAACTTATCTTTATCTGATGTGATGTGAAGATTATGGGTCTTTTCTCTATACGTTTCCTCTGAATTCAGCCTATGGTCCTTTTTGTTTGTTTGGTTGTTTGTTTGTTGGCTTTTGTTGTTGTTGTATTTATATTCGAGCAATGCTGGAAATGTAAGCCTGGCACTCTCAACACAACTAAACTTAAATCCTGTTTTAGCATTTGGAAGCTGCTGTCCTGTCCTTTAATTAAAAACAATAGTCTGCAGCCACACCGAATGAGGTCAAAGATTAGGCTTGGGTCGGGGTAATAAATAAAACATAGGGTCCTGAATTATGAATTTTCTTTGAGGGTGGAGGACCCGGAGCTTCTGTATCTTTAATAGTGAGGAGAGAGATGGGAGAGGCTGCGCGTGCACGGTTTCTTTTTCTTGTTCCGCGGCATCGGGAACGCGCAGTGGATCTCACACTCGCTGGAGAGGAAAAAAGCGACGGACCGAAACAGCTACTCACCGGGAAAATGTTCCCTCCACCGCCCTTCATCATCGCTGTCGACGCCTGCAAAAGTCATGTGAACAGATCCGCAGCATTAAAGGACTCCAGTTTTTTCGACCATTAAACTTGTTTCAGAGGATTGTAAAACTCCAGGAAGTGATTAATAAGACACAGGAATTGAAGTTAACATTTTACAGGTAAGACGATCAAGTAGTTGATGCTATTACTGCAGGTGAAAAGAAGCATTTACATCAAGATAGATTTAAAAAAAGAAGTGGAACACATCGCTCCGTGGGTTAATTGTAACTCTGTATCACAAGGACAGATGCCCTTGTGATAATGAGTGCAAAATACCTAGCTGTGCAAATTGATAATGTCAATTTAGCAATTTAACTTTAATTTCTGAAAGTCAAATGGTTTTGATTCATTGCAAAAATCTAATGTTTTATCACCATTAATAGTGCCAGTATGTCGGGAACCGATTGTGAAGGCGCGCTGAGAGAACAACTGACCCTGAAATTGCTGCAAACATGATAGACAGCATATGTGCATGTATGCTTTTAAAACGTGTCCAACACTGCTATAAATATAAGTGAACATGCTGTTTTTTTGCAATGCATTGGTTAAGGTGCCCTGTAATTTAAAAATAAACTTTGCATGTGATCATTGGTATCAGATTGTGAGATATCAGCAGTTGATTTGTCTATGGTTGTTTTTGTTTTCAGTGTCTTTTATTTTGTAATGCAAATTGGAGTTGCATTAAAGAGCCTTGACGTAACCACACAACTAATTATGTTTAAGTGGATATTAGATGTAAAAGCTTTCCCATTGCATTTCCGCTGGTGTAATGGACATAATGGAGCTTATGTGCTTGCCTTCTAAAAATGTGCCTAATGTTTGATAATTGATGCTTGCAGGTGCAGAAAATGGCGGGACGGCTCCTTCAGCTCCTCGCCTTGTGGACTATCGTGGTCGGCGTTGTGCAGTGCTGTCCAGAGCTCTGCAGCTGCCAGGATAAATTTGCCCACCAGTTTGCTGACTGTGCTTACAAAGACCTGCTGGTGGTCCCCCTGGGTCTGCCCTCCAACGTTACCACCGTGAGCCTTTCTGCCAATAAAATCAACATACTGAAAAGTAAAAGCTTCATCAATATCACGCAGGTCACCTCTCTCTGGCTGGCCCACAATGAGATAGTTACCATAGAAACGGACACCTTGGCCGCCCTCGTCCAGCTCCGCAACCTGGACATCAGCTACAACAAAATTGTGAACTTTCCATGGCAGGATCTGCTCAACCTTACAGCCCTGCAGCTTCTCAAAATGAACAACAATGAGATGCTGAACCTTCCAAAGGACGCCTTCTCCAATCTCAAAGACCTGAGGTCGCTGCGCATCAATAACAACAAGTTCACCACCATCGTGCAGGGCACCTTTAATGCTCTCACCTCCATGTCACACCTTCAGATTTTTAACAACCCCTTCACTTGCTCCTGCAGCCTGGAGTGGCTGAGGGATTGGATTCTGACAACAAAGATTTCTGTCCCCGAGCCAAATTTAGTTTCATGCGAGGCCCCTGAACACCTGAAGGGCACAATGGTTACATTGATTCCCAAACTGGATTGCAAAGCCCCCACCGTCAAAATCTCCTACGAGCCCAACATTGAGATCACAGAGCTCTACGAGGGTTCAATGGTTATCTTAAATTGTGAGGCACTAGGCAGCCCCACACCACAGGTCAGCTGGGAGGTCACTGCAGGAAATCAGAATAATTTGTTCCCCTTGCCCTCTACTGGAGAGGCAAATGATGTGCCAATTAATGATAAAACGACCAACAATCGTTTCCTCATCTTTAGAAACGGCTCTCTCATCATCCCTCGCATGAGCAAAAAAGAAGATGGGAATTACAGCTGCTCTGCGGTGAATGATTTAGGTAAAGCAGAGAGCGGTGTTAAACTGGCTATGACAGGCACCCCGAAAAGTGGCAGCGATTCAACGGTGGACAAGATCCGTCCATCTGTAAAAAAGCCAGAGCCCAAGATGTCCAAAACTAATGACATAAACTGGACCAAGCTTGACGAAAAGACAAAGGGCAGTGCTGGCAGTTCATCAGACAAAAATGCTGTGATGGGGCAGGGCGATGGCTCAAAGAACCCCAACTTTGCAAGCAAGTGTGGCGTGAGAGAAAGTAGTGAATACATCACGAACCACGCCTTCAACCTGAGCTTGGATGACCTGAAGCAGTACACGTTTGATTTTGGTGTTATTGCATTAGAAGTGTCGGAGACAGAGGCCAAAGTGCAGCTGAATCCCCTGCAGCTTCCCAGCAGCAAATCTAACCTTCATCTGAGCCACACTGAAAACCAGGAAACAGTAAATAAAGAAGCCATCGGGCAGTTACAGTCCTCGACCAGTAAAACCACACTGGACATGCTGTACCTCTGTGTAAATACAGGCAATGGACACTCCATGGTTCAGTGGTCCAATATAGAGGAGGGGGTTAATGCCTACCGCTTCCATGGTTTACAGCCTGGCACCAATTACACACTTTGTCTGACTTATGGGGGGCAGGACTGCCAAGTCCAAGTTGTGTTCACAACCAGGAAGAAGATCCCCTCCCTGCTCATCATTGTGGTTGTCAGCATTTTCCTACTGGGCCTGGCCACTGTTCCGTTACTGGGGGCCACCTGCTGCCATTTGTTGTACAAATACCAAGGGAAGACCTACAAGCTGATCATGAAGGCTCAGAATCCGGACCAGATGGAGAAACAAATGACTGGAGATTTTGATCCCAGGGCGTCTTTTGTGGAGTCAGAGAAAACCTTCGACCCCAGCGAGTTAGGAGAGGGGGAGGCCGATGAGGAGGACGGAGACGGAGAGGCTGATGGGAGCGTGGTGACGGAGTCCATCCCCGGATCCTCATCCAAAACCAACCCGGAGGAGTTTGAGGTGGGCTCGGAGTACAGTGACAGGTTACCGCTGGGGGCAGAGGCAGTCAACATCTCGGAGGAGATCAACGGGAACTACAAGCAGCCCAGCCGCTGAGCTCTGCGAGTACACTGTAACATATTTTACTTTAAGTAGCCTTACATCCAAGCAGGTAACTCACCCACCATTTATTCACGTGAACAACGATGGCTTATCATGCATAAAAAGGTGGATCTTGTCATTTATTTTACCTCAGAAAGTAATCCGTCGATCACCTGAGATTGTGATTTGATTCATGTGGCATTTGTAGTCTACTGTACGGTTAAAATAAGCAACACACGTTTACAATACAAGCACAGATTTCTACAGTTTATAAGACCTTGAAACTGACAGGAAAGCAGCACAAATGTTCTCTTTCTGCAGGACAGTGACACACGGGCAATATTGTGCACACGGCGAGGTGCGGAGTTTGCCGGAGTTACGCGTAACTGAAAGGAGAAAAAGATATTGAATCACCGTTTTGGAGATTACAAAAACAAAAAGTGCCATATGTTTTAAAGCCATTTAAAAAAAACTCACACCAGGGACCAATTGCTCTTTCTTAACTGGGTCTGATGTGGATGAGAAATAAATCTCATAGTTACCATCTCCTCAGGTGTCGCCACTCCGGCTCCGCTTTACGCATCCAGTCGCAGATTTGGATGAAGATTTTTCATTAAATGATGCTAGTTCACACATGGGTGTCGGTGCTGATTTGCCCACTGTCATGTGAGTCCAAAAATGGAAATATCACTCTTAACTGTGTTGTGCTTGACGGGAAATCCCAGGTTATTTACCAACAAAATGTTGTTTGACGTAATGTAAGGCTTTAAAAATGTGCGACTTTAACCTCTTAATCCACGGGTGCTTGCTATACTCTCGCTTTTTACAATTAACGTGTCCATGGCATGTCACACGTATTTCCTTGTGTGGTTTTTATTAGTGTAGTGTAGAGGACTTTAGATGTTACTGTCTAACTGTGATGTAAAGCCATGTGAATTTAAATTATTTTTTTTTTTACGGTAAGTTTCTATGAAGCCTCAACGAAAGGGCGCACTGACTGTCTTGTAATTGGATATAGTGAGTTTTTGTGAACTGTTGTAAAACGAAACTAAAAACAAAACCCGTGACCTTTCAAGATTTTTTGATATCATTTTATGTAAGTGGAATTAATAAAACATGAAACTATACCGACTATTTTCTTGATTTGTCTTGGACCTTGCGGATTATTTCAAGAAATAAATATAACATCTATTATTTAATGTAGGCCTTTCTGAAATAATAATTGTTTAAAAAAAAATACAATCTTTACCAGCAGTTAGATGTAAAAACGATTCAAGCCCGGTTAATTGAATTGTTGTGCGTTTTTTCTTTAGTGCTTTTTTAATCATACGATCTTGGTTGAAGGTCTTTGTCACATTTGTTTGATCAAATATAAAACAATAGACAGGCTTTTGAAGAGTGTTGAAGAAAGAGGTAAAGAGAAAAACTGCTGCGTTTGAAATCGGAGATCAACACAAAGCCTCCCTTTGTCTTCACTTTGGCCCTGTACAGTTCATTTCGCAACACAAAGCATCAGCCGTACACCATGCATTTACATCAACCTGCCATAGAAACAAATATTTCAATAAAAAGAGAAACTTTTGTTTAGCATTTATTTTCACAGTAATCAGAAGGACAATTCTGCTGTTCGTATTTTCACTTAAAAGTCGCCGTTTTACATTTAGATGTAGAGAAATAACGATGTAAAGTTGTAGAATATCAGAAACCATAAAAGACAACAATAAGAAAACGCTGTTAGCAGCAAGTGGTTTTGGATTTAAATATCTACAAATAAAACAGAAAAACAAACACTTTAATTAGTCTGGTAGTTCCTATTCCACAGGTTATTTAATTACACCAAATGTGTACAATTGAAAAAAAGGAATGTATTACCCTGTTTTGAAAAGAGCTCATTATGTACATTCATAAATAGTTAAATGTTCTACATATTAATACTCTCTGAAAAAAGGGATGCTTCATTGAAATGCATGTCTGCGTGTTCAGTCTGGGCGACTACAAATCTGAATTATCTGCAGTATATGATAAAACCGGAATTATGTGATTAACCTACAGATTGAAACACAAAGCAAACAAGTGCTCTCCCAAAATAAGCACACAAACGTGTTGAGAATGGCACATAATGAGTGTGTTTGGACGAGATCAGTCAGCCACACAGGTTTTCCTATCAGACGAGAGACATACACATCAGGGGAACATGAAGAGCACAAAGTGGAAACACAATCTCCAGACAGGAAAGGCTTGATGGATTTCTCTAAATGTGGCGCTGAATTGTAATAAGTGCACTTATTTTGGTGTCGAATTTGCCCAAAACCAGAAGACTTGGTACCTATCCTTAGGGTCACATTTGTGTTTAGTTGCTGGCAGCCGCCTCCGTCTCCTTGGCTGCTTCCTCCTTTTTGCTCCCGTCCTTGGCGCTGCGGTTGAGGCTCCCATTCAGAAAGCTCTCAGTGGTCTGACGCTGGAAGTGCTTTCTGGTGCCCACCAGGGAGGGGTTGTTGACCAGCGTGTAGAGGAGCTGCCAGTGCCTGCGGGCCCTCTTTGCAGTGGACACTTTGTGCTGTTTCTTCTCCTGATTGACCAGCTGGATCCCTGAGGACATTTAAACATCATGATAGCACCTATGGTATGTCACGTATAAGCCCTATAAGATTTGTTTTTATCTTTTCTAAAATGGAACAGTACTTGGAGGACACCAAGGACCAACTAGAAACTACAGAGAGAGTAATAATAGAAAGCAATCATATTCTAATCCTCTAAGCATAGTGGGAGCATATTGGGCATGCCATTAACACTGAAAGCTTAAGCCCCTTGGGCCACATGAATACGAAACAGGCAATTATCATAGCTCATCTGTGTAATCAGCTATGCGAGAACTAATGTCTGTAATACAATAGATTATTTCTGATAATGCATTGTTCTTTGGATGCAAACAACTCCACTGCACATGTTTAATTGGACTCAGCTGTGTAGAGCTGAATTCCACAACAACAAATGAAGGCTGATGCATTTTCCTGCTAATTGGTCACTATAATGTATGTCTTCTTGTCACCACACGTGTAGGCGACTATCACTTCCTGTTTGAGCCCATACCATCACTGAAGATCAGCAACCAGCCTTAATGTAGCTATTTATATTTGTGTGTAAATGCCATAAATGATACATTGGGGGATTATCATGTATAATGGGGACCTATAGGACTCTACTGTCTCTTGTAGACAGAGGCCAAGGGCTCAGTGAGTGTGGGCACGCTGTGAAGGACAGCTGATTAGTTTATGACAGATCTGATTGAGACCAGCAGCAGGACTGTAAATTATTCCACACAAGACTCAATTTGCTCCTGACATATTAAATCACAACGGCTAAGCTTTCATTTCTTCTGCGCGTGCAAAACAGTGTGATGATCTGATTATGTGTTACAGTGACCTGCCACTGAATTCTAAACCTCTCTGGAGAAATTAAAACCTTAATATCAATGTAAATCTACCGTTTATCTCCAAAGCAAAGGGCTGGCAATATTCTAAACTTGAGTATTTGTCATGAAGAAGACCAAATCCAACAATGAGGTTATCCTTCAACAAGAATTGCCTGTGTGTTCTTTTATGACAATAAACATCGACACTGTAGTATATTTAAAATGAACTCCCCGTAAAGCTTCCTGCTGCTGTTTATACGCATTAAAGCACCAAATGTTCATACCAATTGTCACATATGTTGCAGGAACGTTTGCTTAAAACTGCAGTGCACAGCTGTTTTGGCAACCAACCCTTTTTATTTTTAAATAAACTATATATTTGTGACCAGTTTTTTTAGGAAAGTTGCTTTTGGTCTATTCATGGGTTTCGTTGATAATAAGAACAACAAAAGGAAAAACTCAATCCTTATTATCTTAAGTTATGAATACACTGAATGCATTGTGATTTGAATCATTAGCACTCAGGAAAAGTCTGTATGATGTAAGTTTGGTGCTACAGACCCTCTTCAGCGTCCCGTGCCCTCTGTGGAGAACTGCTCTCCTGGCCCCCGGCCTGCAGCAGCATCCCGCAGAAGGCCTTCATCACCGGGTGGGACTGGCTCACCTCTATCTTCAGATAATGAGCATAGCAGCGGTAGGCTGTAGACAGACACAGGAGGGAGGGGGGGGGGGGGGGTTACTCTGACTGGGCAAAAGCAATAAACACATGGGACTGCACCCCATGTAGGCTTTGAGGCAATCACACATAATAGGCCATACAATCACACCTTCTTTTTTTTTTAAACCACCTGCTTTTCCTGACAACAGATGTCTTAAATCTGCAGCCATTTCAGAGATCGGTGTGCAATTACAGTCCCGTGCACTGCACACAGATATCATACAAGCTGCAGTGAGCTGCTGGCAGGGGAAAGTGGAAAGGATACGCATTTCTGGCCTGTAAGTGGGATCAGTGAAAGTGCATTTGCTCATAGTAAATTGCTTCTCTTTAAGCCTCCACAGTGAGAAAAAACCACAGTGGCATCTACAAGGGTAAAAGCATAATGCTAATACCAGTGAATATGTTAACATCGTGTGTCTGAGAGTAAAAAGGAAACGTGTAGGAAAATGTAAAATGTATCATTTACAATAACACCGATTTGAATGCAGATGATATTAAATGTGACACTTTGACCTGGTCAGCTAACCAGACAGTGACATCATGATGACCATCTGTACCTTGGCAGTGCCCCTCTCACCTGGGTCAAACGCCTCCACGTTGCGGTTAAGGAGACTGATATCCATGCGCCCCATGTGTACGATGTTGAACAGGGCTGTGATGATGATGCGCCACACTGCCAGCAGCACCCCGATCAGAACATTGACAGGAAACAGCAGGTACGTCAGCAGGAACAAATTGCCCCTGTAACACAGGATAGGTTAAACATACCGGACCAGACTGCAATTAAAAACCATAAAACAACTGAACACGAGAGAATACATAGCAGCAACAACAAGTATAGTGACTCACCGGTTGTGTAAGTCTCGTGTGCCTGCAATTTTTTTGATGAAGCAAAACCTGCCAGTGAGATGTTGAATCAACACAGCCAAGACAATCATCAGCCAAAAGGGCCTAAAGGGAGACAAATCAACAATTAGACATCTCTTAATAAATAACGATGTTATGTCACAGAACAATATATGACTAAAAGCCTTTGCACCATACAGGTATCATGTTATTGTTGTTGATTTAAACAGTTTCAGGTTTCAAATGTTCAAGAACTAAGAAAGCAGCCCCCTCCTACATTAACCAACATGCATCTTTTAGGTTAAGTCAAATAGAACTGAAACTGAAATAATAACAGCGTGTTGTACTGCCTTAGTCATGCAGTCGGTGGACAGAGAGTGAGAAATGTGACGACACTCACCACATGCTCAACAGGATCTGAAAGAGGATCAGATTCTCTCCGTGCAGTATCGGCATGATGATGAGGAAGACGGCGACCAGAAGGCAGAGGAAGAACACCATGGTTTGGATGATCATGCCTGCAGAGAGGAGATCAGAGCTTTATGGCCTCAACGCTTACACCCTGTCCAGCATCCAACAGATCTACACTGCACACCCCTTCACCCCCATATCACTGTGAATGGAGGGGTGGGCAATAATAATAATAATTTCTCTTGGAAACCTCAAGAACAGATATTGAGAAGTATCCATTCATGAACCACAAATAAAACCCTAAAAATATTCAAAGCTTAGTTTATGTTGATGGTACACACACAAAGAAACACACACCGACATAAAATGATTTGTGACCTGATAACTGAGTGATATTAATATGTCATGATGTTTTTCAAATGGACTGGCTGAGGCTACCTGGCCAAAGTGAATAATTTAAAAAATATTTTCTCTGTTTAGTGGTTAATATGTAAAGTAGAGTACAAAAAGAGATCTAAGGTTTAAAAGCAAAACAACATTTAAAAAAAAAAAAATGCTGGAAATATGTTTTGAAATCCTCATCACAATCTCTATAATTATAATCTTCGCTTATAATCTACTAAACTGCGCAAAGTCAATATATCCCCTGTGCCATAATCTGAATTCAACCATTCAGTCTGTGTATTCATTTTATTTTTGCCTTGAACTGTTTACTGATGCTATTTGATATTGCATCTCTT